ACATACAAAGTCCGGAGATTCGACGCAATTCCCGGAATCTTCTTGTATCCAATACACTTGAGAAGGGTGGTTTTGCCGCATCCGTTGGGCCCGATAAGCCCGTACTTGGACCCCTGCGTTATTCGTAAATCTGTGTCTACCAAGAGGTCCTTGAGACCTGCTGAAAGGGAGACTTTCCTGAGATCCACGTCCTTGGAGAGCGTATCCAAGGTTTCATTGTGGAATCGTGAGCTCTGCGACGTGGCAACGACCTCGTCCTGATTTTGGCTTTTCTTCCGTGGCATAGTGCTGGGATACCTTGGAATTCAAATATATACCCGTTGTGGAGTGCACTATGAGTCATTTTTGCGGATTCGGAACGGTGGCAAAGGGGGATCTTGGGACCCTGTGGAGGCTTAGTCCGTAGCGTATCCACTTATTTCAATTATTGAAAATCAAAAAAACCATATCCCCTAGGGCATGGTTGCAAATGCACATACTACATCAAACAGTCGGAAAATCTGCACGTCAACGCACCCTCAAGAGTCCATTTTTGCACCCTCAATACAGTCACCACCGTATCCCAAAAAAACCCCCCAAACTGCCCAGGCTCGTAACCTTGCTGTTTGAGAAGCCCCCCGAAACCCCCCAAAACCGGCTTTTTGTGATTTGAAGCGTCGTAGTCTGGCAAAGTCCATCACATGACCGCAACCGTTACATCATAGCAATCCCCCGGTAAAGCTTTATAAAGCAGGTCCACGATGAAGGCTCCAAATCTGCATGTCTAAAAAGCAAAAGCTCGAACAGCTTCCAAAGTTCTCCTCCAAGTTCTACCCCAAGGAATTGCCCACCCATGTGGCTGCAACCAAGTATGCTAAGGAAGAGAACAAACCGTACAACATCTTGCTCAACAAGGTGGATTCCACGGAAAAAGAGCGTTCCAAGGTCAAACCAGCCAATGCCATTGCCCACTGGTTTGTGAGAGATTTCAGAACTTTCGATAATCACGGTCTTTCCAGGGCATACAAGTTGGCTGCAAAACACAACTTACCGCTTGTGTGTTTCTGGGTCAATTGCAAGGAACTGACCCAGGCCCACGGAAAATCCAAGTTTCAGATGCACTATCGTGTGAAGAGCATGGAGAAGCTCCACAAGAAGTTGGCCGACTTGAACATTGCGTTTGTCACTGTGGATGTGGAAACAAGAAGCAAGATCGTGCCCTCGATTCTTGATTTTTTGCTGAAACACAAGGTCTCCCATCTTTTCGTCAACCAGGAGTACGAGATCGACGAATTGAGGCTCTCGATAAAATTGGTGGATGCCGCTTTGGAAAAATGTATCAATTTTGAACCTGTTCACGATACTTGCACGGTCCAACCTGGAGAGATTGTCACCAAGTCCAAGGGAACGCAATTCGCCGTTTTCACGCCGTGGTACCGTGCCTGGGTGGAGTACGTCAATAACCACCTTATTGACCAGAACAAGATTATCTTTGATGAGCCCCAGAAGCTCGAGAACTCTGTGGATGAATTGATCAAAGCGGGCCATGGACTTCCAGAGATCAAGGTCGACCAAAAGCGTTTCAACAAGTACTGGAAAGAAGTTGGCGAGGACGACGCTTTCAAGGCTTTGGAGAGGTGGGTCAAGCTGGACACCATCAAGAACTACGGCGATACAAGAAACAACTTGGACGGAGGTGCCTCCAACCTCAGTGTTCACATTTCTTCCGGAACCATTTCTCCTAGAACCATTCTCTGGCTTTTGCACGAGAACGAATTGCTTACGGAAGCCAACGAAACAGCAGCTCCCGGTATCACCGAGTTCCTCAGACAGATCTCCTGGAGAGAGTTCTACAAGAACATTCTCTGTTTCTGGCCTCATGTGGGCATGTTCAAGCCTTTCCATTTGGAGTACTCGGACTTGCCCTGGGAGTACAACAAGGACCATTTTTTGAAGTGGCAGGAGGGTCAAACAGGGTACCCTATTGTGGATGCTTCGATGAGGAACTTGAAAGAAACAGGCCATTTGAACAACAGAGGCCGTCTTATCGTGGCATCTTTCCTCACCAAGCATCTTCTTACTGACTGGAGATACGGCGAGGAGTACTTTATGTCTCAGTTGATCGATGGTGATTTTGCTTCCAACAACGGAGGATGGGGTTTTGCTGCTTCCACAGGTGTGGATCCCCAGCCCTATTTCCGTGTTTTCAAGCCTTCTTCTCAATCTGAGCGTTTTGACCCAAAGGGTGATTTTATCAAGAAGTGGGTTCCTGAGCTCAAGGATGTGGATTCCAAGAATATCCATTCTCCATGGGACAATCCTCTGCTGAAGGAGATTGCCAAAAAGAACGGCTACCCTGAGCCAATTGTGGACTACAAGTTTGGCAGACAGCGTGCTTTGGATGTGTTCAAGGAGACGATGCAGAAGGGCAAGAAGGAGCTCGAGGGTGATGACGAAGAGGAGGAAGAAGAGGAAGACGAAGAAGAAGAAGATGGTGAAGAAGAAGAAGAGAATGACGAGGATGGCGATTACAAAGAGTAACGGAATGTTCAAACGAGTCGATGATTAATGGTTGCAAAATCATACGGCAACCGAGTTGTAGGTAACGGTTGCAAAATTCACACGATAACCGAGATGTAGGTGGTTAATGGTTGCAAAATTCATACGACAACCGAGTTGTAGGTAATGGCTGCAAAATTCACACGACAACTGAGTTGTAGGTGATTAAAGGTTGCAAAATACGACAAACGAGTCGATAATTATTGGTTGCAAATCATATCTTCCAACAATTATTCAACCTCCAACATATCAATCCCCTACATCAATACCAATCCAATCATTAATTTATCGTAAGTGTATAACAGTGTATCAGTTAAAATCCAATGACCGACGCCACAAGGGTGTCGAAGTTGTCTACTGCGCCGTCTTCGGCTGCAGCAACGGTGCCGTTACAGTCGTAAACAAGCGACTGGTTTTTCAAGTCGGTTCGGATGTACCTCAACCGTGGAAGCGACATTTTGAACTTCTTGCTCATTTCCAAGTACTCGTTCACCTTTTCGTCCTGGATCAGACTGGTGAACGAATTGGGCGAGCTGAAGTAGTCCTGTGATATGAGACAGTTTGTGTTGTAGAGGGCGTAAATTAGGGTGTCGCCGTGGTTGGAGGTATTTGCAGCCAGATCGGTGAAACCCACCTGGACGATTTTGAGGTTTTCCAAGGGCTCCAAGCTTTCACGGAGAAGATCCGCCTGGTCCCTGAAAACGGGGATTTTGAGGAACTCGAGTTTCTTCAATTTCTGAAGCCTCGAGAAGGATTTGGCAGAAAGTGAACACTGCCTTTTTTTCTGGCCCGGAGAAACATTGTTCTCAATGGTGTTGAAGCACACATCCAAGTACTTGAGGGTATCTGCGTGGGTCTCCAAAGCCTCAAAAAGAGCATCCAAGTCCACGGGCTCGTTCGGGCGGTAGAGGTACTTCAAGTGGATGCTGATGTGCTCCAAGCCAGAAAGCAGGGCAATGAATGCAATGATGCAGTTGTTATAGTAGATCTCGTTAGTCATGCTGAGGTGAAGCAGCTTCAAGGCGGTGAGTTCCGGCACCAAAAGATCCAAGAAGAGCTCTGCCGGGGCGTTACGGCGGATGTATGCGGATGAAGACAAGGTCATGTAGTTTTGGGGTAAGACATGGTCGAAAAGGACCTCGGTGCATTCTTCGAGGGAGAAGCTTTTGAGCGAGGCCAAGTCGACGTAATTTTTAAGGATGTGGGCGTCACACACCAGCAAGGAAATGTCCTTGAGTTTCAAGCTTTCAAGCTTAATCGGGGAGTCCAAAGACAGCGAGTTGAAAAGCAGCGAGGTGTATGTGGGAGCATCCAAGTGGTACAGAGGTTCCTGGGTATTGGACAAAACGGCAGAGCAGCACGAGGAAAGCGACGATGTGAAGATCCTGGAATTTGAAGAAACCAGCTTCAGCACCGTGAGCGAGGTCAAGTTCTCGGGGAACCCAGAAAGGTTGTATAGGTTCTTTTCGCAGCCAAAGTTGGAGATGTCCAAAAACTCGACACTTTCAGGGACGTTGAATGTGGAGAAGGCCAGGGAAAATTGGAGGTTTCCACACACCTTCTTGATGTTTTTGGGCAAAAGCGACACCAAATCGGCGTCCAAGGGTTGGTGGATCGAGTACCACTGGAAATCATCCAAATTGACCAACTGGGGAAAGATCTGTGCAAGGTAGCCCAGCAACTCCAAATGAGGCATATCAGGCACCTGCTCCATGGCCACAAGGCACTTGAGGTTCTTGCAGTATTGTGGGTTTCTCGTGAGGTTCTTCAAAAACCGGGTAAGGGCGTATAAAGACCGAATCACCGTGGGGTAGCATGAAAATCTGAATTCGTGGAACCACTTGTGGCGGTTGACAAAACCTTGGAGCTCGTTCAAGTGGACCTTGGAAGAATCAAAAACAACAACCTCGTAGATCAGAGCGTGTAGCGTGGTATAAAGCTCCCGGCATGTCTTAGCCAATGCAAGCTTATCTTCCTGAGGAAGGTATGTGGCGATTTGGAGGACTATGTCCGAGGGTAGTTCAAGCATCCTGGAACATGAAAGGATAGAAAAGGGAGAAAAGTCGTGAGGACCTTGGAGGCATTATATGAAGAATGGGGACCGATTTGCTCATTTGGGTGCAAAATGGAGCGGTATCCGACTCGGAGAGGTCACGTGCGCCGAGGAGCGAAGTCACAAGCATGTGCGTTGGGGATGCACGAAGGGGGGTGGGAGGTGCTCTTAAGCTGTTGAAGTTAGATTTGAAGGTTTGGCTTTTCTTCGGAAGGGGCAGATTTGGCAAAAACACGGTTATAAAGTATTGGTCACGTGACTTTGACAGGTGTGGCTCAGCACGTGATAAGCACGTGAAACACATCGTACACGCAGGACTGCAGCATGCAACCTGGCCGAGCCGCTCGATGACTATCAAGAAGTTCTGGTATTTCTTCGAATTATAAAAAACCCGAATCTCCTCTTCAATATGACAACTACAGATCATGAAGTTGCAAAAGATTTCGACTATTTTGAGGCTGGAGCAGGCAAACTCAGTTTCACCTTGAAAGTGTCCTACCAGGAACTTCCAGGCATGGCAGCGAACAAGAAGACGTTCAAGGTTCCATTCAAGTTACAGTATAAAGGGCACGCCATGTGGTGGTTTGTCCTCGTCATGCAAGAACTCAAAAAGAATTACAGCCGGTGTGTCTATATTTATTTACGAGCCTTGCTCCACGATGACACTTCTGTTGAAAAAGCTCTCGTATCGTACGACGATGAGGACCAAGTGTCAATCAGGCGAAATGCTCTAGAATTCGTTGATAATATATTGAAGCATGCAATTGACTCCCAGTACATTAGTCAAATTGGTCTTGCTGAATCCAAGGAAACAGGATTGGCTATATTCAAGCGCATATTTGACGTATCACTTCAGTACCAGGCAATTGAATTAGCCCAAATCATAGTTGCATGGAGAAAACCGTGGGAAACGTTTGCGCTCAATTCAGTCCATAAATCGCTAGATCCGGACTCACAGTACAAACTATTCTTGATAACGCATAAGCTCCCCGATCCATACGTGTACTACGTTTTGGAAGGTTTTGACATGTCGATCTTGGAGGATTCTCTTGCAAAAGAGTTCAAAGAGTCGGGGATCTCGACACTCGACCTCAGGGAGTATGCTCATCGAGGTTTCAAGACCTACGACAGTGTATCCCATCAATTTGGGATAGCCCAGAAACAATGGAAAAATCAGAGGGGGGATCAAGTTACGGAAGAAGGATCAAGGGAAAATCACAAGGTGGAGCAAGCTACGGAAGAAAGAAAATGGGAAAAGCCGAGGGCACCGAAAGCTGCGGAAGATAGATGGAAGGAGAAGACGATCGCAATGAAGAGATGCCATTATTGTCAGGAAATGGGTCATTTCAAGAAAGACTGCCCAGCAATCACGTATGAGCTACAGGAGTGGAAGCTTTACGACAAAGGAAAATCACACAAAAGACAAAGAACCAACTTTTGATTTGGTTGTTTGGAACGATTTTTGCACCCAGGTCAGTGATAGATATTATCGGGTGGATCCCTTGTATGGGTGAATTGGCATCGAATGAGGGTGGTGTCTTCTGTAAATAGAGCATATTTTAGAGGTTCAATGGGGTTTACTTTCGAGGGGATGAAGTCACATGAGTAGATTCAAAATCATAGGTATATTCATGCCTAGGACAGTAAGGTGTTTCGAGGTTGCACGACGGGAATGATGAGCTTTGATTGCGACAGACTGAGAAGATAGATTCGGGTACCAAATAAAAAAAAAACCATATGCTATTTTTATACGAAAGTGAATCACAAATAGACAGAATGCTGAGACACCACCCAGCTGAAGGAGCTAGAACGAATCTTCCGCCAAAAGGTAGAGGAGAGGTAGCGATTTAAAAATTATGGTAATGGTTGTCAGTATTTTGATGAGAGACATTTTTTTGAATTTCAGCATGAACGATATTCCTGGGGAAACAATCCTTCAATGCGGTAGCGGACATACGCAGGTCAAGTTTCCACGTAGAACGTCGAGAACAAGTGCGATTTGAATGTTTGAGTAGGATTGATCAATTCTTAGGTCATTTCTCTCCTCTCCAAAAGCTTATACCTTTCTCTCGATATCTCCAAGTTGTCAAAAACACTGATTTCCTTGCCTAGGATAAGAGATAAGCACGTGAAACTCACGTGTAATACCACTCAGCTGCAGGACTACATGATACATCAAGAGTCGATGAGATGTCCAAAGAACGAGACCATTCCTTATTATCCAAAACCCTTCATAATCTCAAATAACTGACCCGAGATGCTGGTTAACCAGCTCGACTACTTTGAGGCTGGAGCTGGAAAGTTGAGCTTTCGTCCACTAGAACTAACGCATAAGTTACAACTGGAACAGCCAGGTAGCACGACGAACTTCAGGATCCCATTTAAACTAGCTCAGAGAAAACATGCCATGTGGTGGTTTCAACTTTTAATGCCCCAAATCAAATACAATTACGACCGTTTTGCTTATGATTATTTGAGGGCCTACCTTCAAGATGAAGCAAAAGGTGAAGAGTTTCTCAAACAGTATGACGAAGCCAAACAAGATTTGATCAAAAAAAACTCTTCCTTAGTGGCACATACGATCATACAAGAAGGTGTATATGTCAATCTTCAACAAGCGGTTAGAATAGGTCCGAAATGGGTGTCAACGTTGGCAGATTTTAAGCAGCTATTTGACCAATCACTCCAATACGACCATATGGAGCTCACAACACTAATACTTGATTGGCGCACACAGTGGAAAACTCTTACATCACGCCGTGATAACGGAACGCTAGATTGTGATACAAGATACCACCATTTCTTGCATACCCATAAACTCCCCGGAATCTACTTCTTATACGCCTGGGATGATATAGATGAAAGAGAGTTGATGTCCGCTCTAGCGGATGAGTTTGATAATTCTGGTATCAAAAAACTTGACCTCAGACCAATTGCTCATGAAGGAATAGAGAATGCTGACGGGTGGTCGGGACGCTTCTATCAGGCTGCCGCCGAAATGAGCGTACGTAGACTGGAGAAGACCAGGATAAATTGTGAGCCACGAAAGAGAAAAAGGAAGGGTATGAACGCAAAATCCCGGGTCTCTAAAAAAAGGGTCACATGAGGATTGATCATTTTGAGTTGAGGAGGGTAATGAAATTGACGATTTGATAATTGGCGAGTTCTTTGCAGTCATAGATTGTACTACTGAGGATCTCAGTTGAGACCATCTTAGTGGGTAAGTAAGCCGAGAATTTCCAAACACCGCAATCACTTATAGAGATACGCAGAGCATTTTAAACGAATATAACGATTTCAATTCCCGTTGAAGAAATACTGTTGCAGTAGGCCTATGTACCCAGGGCACTGACCTGCATATAATAAAACGGCCCCGGTGCAACAATTGGAACGTTACATTTACCCTGATTTACCGTATCTGCACATCCGCCAGATACCAATGGTTCAAAAATAGGGATGATTATTATTAGGAGGACGATTTTGCTTCCAGTGTGCAGTATTAGACTCCCTAGACTGCAGGAAAGCCCAGTCAGTCGGATCAGTGTGTCCGTTGAAGATCATCAACGTTGAAATATTTTTAAGTGAAATTATGAAAATCGGAAACCCACCTCAAACGGGATGGATATTTGCTGTTATGCAAAAACGGCAATTGAACTCACTTCGGCTAAACCCGCTCTTCGGTTATTTGCTGTTGTCTCATATTTTGGCGAACTCACGATGTCCAGAGTTTCTAGAAGCTCATACTTAAAACCTTCAGATCTCCGTTTTGAAGACCCCTCATTATACAATGACGTAGAGCTCCTGGTCCCAATGGCTGCAAACCAAGAAAGTGTTTGTACGGCACATAGTCATGTCAACGCAAGGCGGGTACTAGCTTCATCGCCGATCCCCAGACCGTTTTGCAGCCAAATAAGCTTTATTTGGATTTTCGAGTGGAAGTTAAAACGTCAATGTGGAGTAGGGTTTTACGGATTTGGAAGAATGAAGGGTGGTTTTGACAATAAGATTATGCAAATGGGGTCACCAAACAAAGAGACTCTAGAACATAGACCAGTCCAGCAGTTCTCCATACGATCTAGCAATTCCATAGTGATGTAATTCCAAAATGAGGTGGTTTTCAACTTCCACCAATTTCATGAATTTCACTGTTGCTGCGACCAGCCCACCACAAAATCCTGTTTCACCAAAACGTCACCAAATCCACACCAAATCCACACCTTTCAAAACCATCGTAACTCCGGCCAAAGCAAGAATCCCCCACAGTTGCTGTTTTCCATTCCCGCAGCCAATTCCATCGAAGCTTCGTTGCAGCAAGAAAAACGCAATTTACCGCCCGGACATCACCCCATTCTCTGCAGCGACCCCGAAGCCGTTCATAACTGAAATCAGCAACCCAACTCCAAACGGCTGCAGTGAGTCCAATTTGAAAAAAACCACATCAAATCAGGCAATTGAAGCCGGAAGCTAGACGACCGAAACGAAAAAATAATCCAATGACGCATTCAGCCTGATTTGTTCAAACCGCACGTATCGTTTCTGACATCACCTGAAGGGCTAGAATAAAGCCTCACCGTATTATTCTTTAACAGAATGGACCGATGCTGATGCACCCGATTGTTCGATCCTCAGGGCTTATCGTTGCTCCTCAGTAGCAATACAAGTTACACAAAAGTGGATTTAACTCCTCATTCAGTGGAATGCCTTGGAGACAAAGAGATGCCTTATCATGGACCTACGTCATCGCCCATACGGCGATGTTTCCCAAAGAGGCCGAGACGCATACGAAAACGTCGATACTTACGATAATGCCAAATCGCCGTTTTCCAGCTTCCAAGAAACCTGCTTTTGATTTTTAGCTATTGTAGTACCACTAAGCTTTTTGCAAGAATGCCTATTGGTGGGGGCCTAAACCCGTGCACCACACACACCAGCGGGCCGGCTTTGTGGTTCGTTTAGATGAGCAGAGATGTCACGTGCCGCAGGACGCAGCAGCGATGCCGTTGCCATCCGGAGTGAAATTTCCACATTTCTGGGCCCCCGATATTTCTAAAAATCCTGCACACAAAGCAAAACCAACCCTTCCCAAAAACCGTTTGGCTTCCGGCTGCCCCACGTTTGAGGAGAATAATTTGCGTGGCACAGCGCTCCCCATTCTAGGCACTAACCTGGCTAGACTTTAGAGCGTTGGCATAGACAGGATGTGACATTTCGCACGTTAGGAGAGGGAGCTGAGGCTGGCGAGGTGGGGTCTATATGCAGGCCGTTTCATTACGACACTTCCAGGGTCCACAAAACCGGACTCCCTGGGTGTGCAAGATTTCCGGAAAGTAACACTTGATATGTTCAGAAGCCGTAGAATACATAGGGTGTAGTTGTTGCGCCCCCAAGGGGCCGTGGGAGGCTGCCCTGGAGGTCGTGCGAAGCCCAAAAAAGAAATACGTGGTGTTACATGCACGCCAGCCGAAAACCCATATCCTCAATCAACCCGTTATCACTAATCCAGGAACAAGGCCATATTCTTTCAGCCAAAAGGCCCAGCCGAACACGCCAGAACCATTGCATCCGTACCTCCGGCTACATCCTTCCCCCTTAACCGGCCTTTCCTGAACCCTTCCAAAATATCTCGGCTCCCTACAACGCTAGATCCAGACCAGCTCACCCAAATCCAACTCCCCCCTTTGCATGTTTAACACTTCGATCTTCGACAACGCCGCCTCCTCCCTGCTGGACAGCGGGCAGGATTTTCTAAATGTGCCCCAACCAATCGACATTACCCACCAACGACAGCCCAGCATCTTCAACAACTCCCGTTTTCGAAGAGAGCTGATTGCCCATTCTCAAGGAATGGGCGGTGTCTCCTGGGGCAGCGTGACCATCGGCCTGTGGCTCAAGGACGAGGTGATGATGTACCAAAACCACCCTTCTGCTGGCAACTCCCAGCTTCCTGGGAACCTTATTAACCCTAGAAGGGGCCTGTTCCGGATGTCTTCCGTGGCACCTGCTGCCGCCCAGAACAACGCCCTGCTCCATCCAGGCACGCTCTCACCGCCCAACACAACGCTGTACCTCCCTACGTTGGAGGCGGACTACTGTAAAGACTACTCGTGCTGCGGCCAGCTTTTGCCCACGCTACACGACTTACTCAGACACTACGAGGAGGCCCACATTCTGGCGTCTCCTCCGCAAGAAGCCAACTCGCATCTCCTTGCGGCCCACCGTAACCGCAACAACATCAACAACATCCATAACGTCATGGAAACGGTGCTGACCACCGATGTGTTCTTGAACAACCACCACCACCAGCAGGCGGCGCAGCAGCAGCAGTCGCAGGGCTCTTTGCATCTCCCGGCCTCTCATTTCAATTTACAAAACCAGACCATTTCTCAGGGGGCCGTTGCCGACAGCATGCTGCCTTCTGGAAACGGCACTGCCCAGCCACAGCATGGAAACGCCCAGCAGAGGCACCTTCCGCCTCACCGGGTCAACCCAGCAGGCGCTGCAGACGCCGAAAACGATAGCATGTATATTGACGATCCTGCCCGTCACTTGTATGTGATGGAAAACGAGGAGTACAAGCCGTTCAAGTGTCCGGTGATTGGTTGCGAAAAAACCTACAAGAACCAGAACGGTCTCAAGTACCACCGGCTCCATGGCCACCAGAACCAGACGCTCAAGGAGAACGACGACGGTACGTTTTCCATCATCGACCCAGAGTCCAACACCCCTTACCTTGACGGTGCAGGCATGGAGAAAGACAAGCCTTACCGCTGTGAGGTTTGTGGTAAACGGTACAAGAACTTGAACGGTCTTAAGTATCACCGTGGTCACACAACACACTAGGGTGGCCTCCTCTCTGCATGGTTAGACTTTATTGCATTACTTACTACGGGCCCAGATTATGGTTTTCTTCGTTTAGGCGGACCCCCGCCCCCATTTGGTTTAGCTTGGCTGTTAATTTTTTGACCCTCATTTACTTTGGTTTATTGTTTTTGTTCCATTTGTTACATTATCATCGCTACCTGGCTCCGTCCTTCCGGGCGGTGTTCCTTCAAAGTGGACCCTCCTACCCCCCGGATACACCCGTGCACCACAACCATCATACAATCCTCATGTGCCTCGCGGCTCTCTTTTTCCCACCATGGCTCTTACAGACAAGATTTTGGCCTTGATTGGCTCCATTGCCAGTCGCTACACGCGTGCATCCTTGTTTGTCACCCGCCAGTCGCTCTATGGTGCTTCGCTTTTCACGGCGATCATTGCCGTGCTTCTCCCGATCTCATTGGTGACGTACTTGAATTTTTATAAGATGCTCGTGCCAGTGGAGCGATTCGCTGTCCCCACGTTGTTCTTGAAGAGTTCGAGCGGCTTAGCATCCTCAGACATTGACCCGCTGAAGGCCTTGTCGTTTCTTCGACGCAATGCCGACTTGCCGTTCTCGGTGAGGATCAATCTTCGGGCAGTCTGTTTTGTGGAGAAGTCGTACCATTTGATCGAGTATCTCTTCAGCCTCACCCCTCAGGTGACTCGTGAAAATAGCTTCATCATCAATTGCGATCTGCGATACATTTACGTTGACAGAAACAGCTGGATTCCTTACCATCTTCGGTACTGGGTGCCCCCAATCTTTGTGGACATCTTCAAGACCGTGGAGGTGGACTGGCCGTTGCTCTACAGCACTGGCAGGGAGCTTGCCCAATTGTTGCACGAACAGAAAAGTCATATATTGTTTAGGAACACCGACCCTATCCTTATTGATAACTCAAAGACAACCCTAGACTTTGTCATTGAGTGGGATGGCATCCGGTATTACCTCGTGAACTACTACTTCACCAGTCTTTTCGTTGGCGTGCTTATCTTCTGGGGTACTAGCTCCTTTATCTGCATGATCTCCACGCTTTACTACTACAACAAGTTTAGCGACGAGACAGAGCAGTCCCCACAGAGGCCGCCAGCATCACAGAAGCAAGACTGATAACCACCAACACCAGAGACATTGAGTCTACACCCCTATGAGCATAAAGATGTGTAACGATAATGAAATTGATTATATCTATGCAAGAGTTCCTCAAGACGCATTAAGCAACTTGAGTTCTGTAAAGCTATCAATAGGAAGAAAGGGCACGATGCGTTGAAAGTACTCGCTCTCATTAATCTCTTTCCTCTTTGGCGAGCCTTGGAGATCTTCGTCAGACGATCTGGTTACTGTGGGCACATAGTTGGCCTGGTCAGCCTCTATCGTGTGGAACAAGAAACGCTCAAATTCCTCAACAATCATGTTCCATTCGTTGATCGACTTGCCCAAGCATTGTAAAGACGCCTCATTGGAACACCAAGTCGACATTTTCTTGAAGAACCGGTTCTTTTCACATTCCTCCTCGTCATCATAGATATCCTCGTCAATGAGGTAGTTATCTGTGCTAATGTAAAATGGGTTGTAGATGTCCGAGTTGAGGAATATGGAAATGGAGGGCACCTTCACTGCTTTGGGTTCCGAGCTTGGAACAGCTTGTCCTTGCATGTAGAATTTGCTGTAAACGTCGGAATTGTTGGCCCTTTGCATCTGAGTGAACTTGTGAGCCAAAATATCGTTATCAACGATGATGTCAAACTTGAAGACTGGACGCACGATTTCAGGAGGTACTTTGAAGAGCTCCGGTGGCTGTGTGTGCTTAGATGAGCGAGAGGAGAATGACGAGCTCGAGGAACCAATGAAGTCAGACATGGACGACTCGGAATCAGAAGTTGCTGATGAGTCGGTCGACAAATCATTAAGCGACGATTGACGAGAAGCCAAGCTTGGACTTGAATTCCTCGACAGAATCATAGGCGAATTCGACAAAGAAGTGAGAGATCTTGAATTGCGTTTGAGTGAGGCAAATGATTCCTTCCTCCCCAATGGCTTAGGAGGTTGCATTCTGAGACTGGATCCATTCTTTTCCTCCGTGGACAAGCTCTTGAAGAACTTACTCAAGGAGTTGATCAAAGATCCATTCTTCACTGGTTTCCCAAGTGAATTCTGCGTGGGACTTCCCTTTCCATTCTGCTGGGCAGGAGAGCTGGGTAAGGAAGTACAGGAATAAATTGCCTCATCAAAGACTTCAAAAGGATGGGTCTTCCTCAAGTCACTCGTTCTGTTTGCGTTTCCTGTCAAGTAGCTTGTCGACAAGTCGTCTGCGCCCAAATAGGTTTGGCATGGATTTAATGGCAAAATGCCAAACTTTCTGTTCACCATTGGACTGTCAGGTGAATAGTTCAAATCCTTCGTCAAACAGCCCTTGTGCTCGCGCAATGTGCTATACATGGAGTCAAGCTTCATTTTACTTCTTCTTGTAGTCTGAATAGCCGAAGAGGATTCATAGTTGTTGATGCCAATGACTCTCCAGACCAAAAGACGAAGAAAGTAGGAGCGCACGATAGGGTTCCAATGCAAGAAGAACTTGACCCATACATCGGTGGAGGTCAACCAATTGGAAAAGTTGACCTTGATGCTTTCACCAGGGGTTAGGAGCCAGCCCTTCAAGTAGGAGACCGACTGAGGAATCTCCGTCTTGCACAACTGATCAGGGATCCTGTCCCACACGTTGAACAAGAATGCCAAGTTTCTTTGAATGATCTGGAGGTGATGTGTCTCTGTGAGCATGAGATATACGCAGCCCAACCAAAACTCCCAGTCAATGTTGCTTGTGTCAAATACGTGATTTGAATGCACATGCACAAGACTGAGCACTAGACCGTTTCTGTTGCAGTCGTATATGCTAGTCGAGCGTGCAATGTTCACAAACAACAAATCTATAAACCGGGAGAGGTTGTTCGCAAATGGAATGGAAGAAAAACTGATGTCTCGTGTTGTCTTGAGAATCTTTAGAATGCAAGTGTAGTTGGTGTCGTTCAGTTTGAACGGATAGCTCGACAGTTGGGGCTGGGGAGCCGCAGGAGGAGGATTTGCTGCAACAGCGTTGTTCCGTGGAGGTGATTTTGGTCGGGAGCCGTTTCCTGAAGACACAGGAGCTACAGATCCTGTGGGCACCTCGGGTCTCTTCATGTTGTGGACAATTCTGTTGATGGAAAACTCAAACACCTGTGAGATGTGAGTTCCAATGATGTAGAAACCAGGGAACACCATCGGCAGCACCTCCCTATTGCAGCAAGCCTTGGCCAAATACAAATCGGTGAGGTTAATGTAATGACGGAAGAAAGAATTGAAGATGTCACTGTCGGAGCTCGACCATCTGCGGACCCAGGGACCGCTGGGGTCCCGAATGCCCTTGACGGGGTGCTTGGGTGGGGGAATGGAGTTGATGATGCCTTGTTTGGCCTTGGTTAGGTTATCCACGCCCTTGTATGCTATAAGGTGGGCCAAGTGCTTGGGGAAAGCCGCCTTGGCGTCTGAGATTTCCTTGGGCAGAGGGGCCTCGCAATTGGCAACTAGGCTCTGCACCAGGCTCTGCTTTACATTGAGCAAAAACAACAAGGCGTTGCAGACGTGGGGCAAGTTGAAAAAAGCGAATGCAAAGACCTTGCCCACGAAAGCACACATGGAGATAGGCACGAGCTTCAGCGCCTGAACCCTGCGCACACAGAGATCTAGCGTTTCCGTGAGGCAGGAGGTGAAGACTGCCTGGGACTCCAGGTCAGCGGCAGTCCACTCGCGTAGAGCCATGATGCGGGAGATGCACTCAAAGTAAGCGTTTCTGTCCAGAGCGGAAACGTGGGTGGCCAGGTTCTGGGACGTTAGCGCCAGAAGAAGCAGGCGCCACCATTTGCCAAGAATGGCGGTGGACACGGAGCAGAAGCTGGCGTAGATCTTCAGCAGCTCAGGGAAAGTGGCCTCGAGCGGGGGCTGCAGACGTAGAAACGGTAGCAAGATGGTGCGGAGGAGGTTGGCCTTGGTGACGTTGTTGTGCTTGGAGCTGAACTTGGACAAGGCAATCTCCAACTTCTTGTACTGCTTGAGGAGCACCTTGATGGACTTTTCGTCGTCCACGGAGCGGGGCGGCTCGTGCTTGGAGGATGTCAGGAACAGCATGGCCAGGTTGCCCGTCTGGGACTTTGTGTAGGTGGACTGGGAGGCCAAGGACGACAGCAGGCGGGCGGAGCGGAGGGACTTCCGTCGGGAGACGGAGGATGAGCGTATTATGGGCATCGTGGAGTCAGTTTAGCGAGTGGGTGGATGGGTAGCTGTAAAGGAAGCTGTAAAGGAAGCTTAGCGGGAGCTTGGAAGCTTGAATGGAGCTTGTGGAAGCTTGAATGGAAGCTTAGCGGTGCCTTGTAGCGGAAGCTTAGCGGATGGAGGTATCAGGGCTGCTTAAGGGTCAGTGGACTGGTCTGTTGCCGGCTTTATCCTTATCGAAGCGTGTTTACCAAGGTGAGACACGCTGAAAGCAAGAAAACAACACGTCTGGCGACGAACGGCCAAGGTCACAGGGAGTAGCAGCAGAATGTAAGCTTCCAGAGACGCCAGGGCTCCTAGAAGGCAGAAAGCGGGTGTAGTTCAAGCGAAAAGGGTGTTGTTGACGTTTCGAGAAAATGCCGGGAATGGAATCTGCTTGATGTGATCGTTTTGGGTGGGACGTGGCCTCTGGGGCCTGGAGAAGGGGCCTTTTTGAAAAGAAGAAAAAACAAGCACTAGTGGGCCAGCATAAGCGAGGGAAGCTGGAAGCAGGGTATATAAGGCGGTACAAGTTGCGGTTAAGAAAAGACAGCCAAGAAGCAAGAGGTGCCAAAAAAAGTGCGTCTGCGGCTCACCAGCAACAGCCGTCGGGGTGTCCCTGGTAAAAATAGCAGAAAAAAAAGGGAATTAATGAAATTTTAGGAAACACAGAGAAATCTTTTTAATAAAACTTCAAAACCACCTCCTCCTTTTTGTCGGCGTGGACCACCGCAGCCCGGTGTGGCTGGTGCGAGATTGTCCGGATTTGCAGCAACCAGTGCCTATTGGATAAGGGGTGCTACAGGCTTCCCTGCGTTGCTTTGTCTTACCCTGGAATGTCTTGAATATGGCGGTTTAGGGCGTTACGTTTTTGGGGTTATTTTGGGGAAGCCCGGCAAATGGATTATTTTAGTTTCCACACAGCCTGTATTATTGTGGTCCGTCTTGAGCGAAGCGACGTCACCTGTCATGTGGAAGAAAGTTGGCGGTGAGGTATTTCGAGGTATTACACGAGGCATGAGGCATTTCACGATTTATTTTGGAGGCATTTTGTTAACTTCATTTTTTTATTTATTTTGCTGTTGCCGCTTGCCGCTGGGTCCCCATTGGATCGTTCGCCTGGCCCCCCGATAATCTTCAATTTGTTGCTCTTCTCGTGAAAAAAGTCCCTCTGCATTCGTAATCTTGAGACTTAGTTTGGCCGAACCGGACCCACCGCAACCAGGAGCCGCAGATCCACAAATCGCTTGTGGCGTTGTTTCAAGATTGGGAGGGCAGAAAGACGATTGGGCGATGTGGACCGATTGGTGCTTCGCCGAAGTGGGTACTTTTCCGAAAACGCACGTTTCCGGTCGTCTACAGAAATCCATTTCCTCAAGCTATTTGACATAATTCCTTTTCTTTTCCTTTTCTCTTCCTTTTCTCTTTTCTTTCCTATCCTTTCCTCTACCTCCACCTCCTGGTCGGTTGGCCGTGGCGCCAGATCACTGTCTTGCTGCTGCATCGGGGCTTCCGGCTCCTTTTTGAGACACACATCGTCCCAAAGTGGCCCAATTACACAAACACGAAGGATTCAAGAAAACCTTGAATTTGCCGATGTCTAATTTGCCGGTGGCTACCGATGAAAATGCTTTTTGCTCTGCAACGGAATGGCTGCAAACCAGGCTCGCTTCAGGGCTCACCACGGTCAAGAAAATCGTCATCCAAAACAAGATGCTTTTTTTAGTTTGTCGCAAAAAGCCCTGGCGGGTTGGGTCTTCTGCCGCACTGCTTGTTGCTGTCGATGAATCCACGTTTATCGATGTAGTCTGGGCAATTTAGCCGCTCGTATGTAGGGCTGACTTGGACCAGCCAGCAAGGTGGTCTCAAAGAAACGAAGCGACGATTGGGAGGTAAACCTTTTTTTTTCTTGAAAGTTTGATTTTGCCGATTTGATTCCAATTGATTGAAAATTGATTGAAATCTGGCTGATGTTTTCTATTTCATTAGCTCAATTACCCACTCAACAGACAATGCGATGATAAGCAACAATGGATGGAACAATAGCACACCCTGCGGGATCCCTGACTGGGATCGTGATACAAAATCCGATTTCTCTTTTTCCGACCTTCTTCTTATCAGCAAGCTTCATTTCCTTTTCGTCGCAAACCCACACAATGTGGTTTCCTGGGCCTTACCCAAACGAGCTCCATTATGGAAAGATATGGAAATGGGCCTTTTCTTGGCCATTATGAACCTGGGGAACCAGCATCCGGGGAAGGAAATTAGTGGAATTGAGCAAGATGCTGGAAGGGGGCGGGAATTGTGGAATTCTCGGAAATCAGGTGGTTTTAGGGTGCAAAAAGCGGAAGCACATCTATTGATTTAGAGGCGGTACATGTAGGAGAATATGGCCCAGTCAGGGGTTATTGTAGCGTAGGGAGGCTTCTATTATTCATGTCCAGGCGTTGACATCATGGTATTTATTGTGATTGTTTGAGATGGAGATTTGTTTGAGAGTGGTTCGTGCAGCACAATCAAAAGACAAAGTGACCTCTGTTGGTGGTGAGTTCGTTGGTTGCAATATATGATAGAGGATTGAGGTGTGCTTGCTGAGGTTCAAGGATTGATGAAAAAGGCACTATTTCTGCCAGGTACGAGACCAAAGTCAATAAAACCTGATGACTTCAATGTCCCTATATAATTTTCGTTTTTGGGTGAATTCAGTTCATTGCACTTGATCCCCACTGTATGTGGTTTGCAACCGTTCCTCACATTTCCTTATCAGTGAGGCTGCGAAGTGGTCCCTACGGCTATGACACAAAAACAGGCCAAAACACTCAATTTTCAATATCTACCAAATACCCACCGAAATCAACAAAATTACACACCCTCCACCCAATCGCCCCGTTATCGGCCAAATACCACAACTCGACCCCTGGCACACACCCGTACACCACAACTACTCACAAGATCAATCACCCGAGTATCAATAATTACCCCAATCAATCTCAGAATTTTCAATCATGGACATCACGCCGTACGAAACCACACGGTCTCGTTCTCGATCTCGGTCCAGAACTAGAAACTCGACCGCCAATTCTCGTTCAACCTCCGCCACGAGAAGACCCAGCTTGGGGTCACGGAAATCGCTTTCTTCCTCCTCCTTGAACAACCTCACCTTAACTCAACAGCATTTCGACAATGGCGGAGAAATGACCGTGCCCTCGGTGCTGGTCACACTAGATAACACGTTGCCTTACGATTTCTTCAAACAGGAGCTTATTGCGCTTATTAGAGCCCTTAGAATCAGCAAATGGCATAAGAAGTGGTTGACGGTGAACAATGTCGTGGTGACTCGTATCTCCGGTGCATTGACAAACAGCATTTATAAAGTGGAGCTCAAGGACCCGGCCTTCACCGCTCCTTCTTTGTTGTTACGTGTGTATGGTAAGAACGTGGACTCCATCATCGACAGAGACTACGAGCTCAGCATTTTGGTCAAGCTCTCCCCTAAAAAGATTGGCCCCAAGCTTTTGGGTATCTTCACTAATGGCCGTTTTGAGCAGTTCTTGGAGGGCTTTGTCACCATGACCAAGGAGGACGTCAGAAGCCCCGTGATCTCCCTGATGATTGGGCGTAGAATGAAGGATTTGCATTACAAGATCGATTTGGACGATAGAGACAAGGCGTTGAGCGTCCCGAATGCGTGGCACCAGATCCAGAAATGGCTCGATGTGTTTGAAAAGACGTTCTTGCCGATGTACACCCCGGACGAAATCAACGATATTGTGCTTTTGCCATGGCCCAAGTTCAAAGAGTTGGTGTTCAAGTACAGAGACTGGCTTTTTGCCAAGTACGACTCGGAGAAGTTCTCTGAAAACTACAAGTTCTGCCACAATGACACTCAGTACGGTAACTTGCTTTTGAGAAACACTTTCGACCCCGAGCAGGTGATCCAACAGCCCTCTGACAGTGCCATTATGAACACTAACACGAAGAGAGACAACGATTTGGCTGTCATTGATTTCGAGTATTCTGGTGCCAATTTCCCCGCCTACGACATTGCTGACCACTTTGCCGAGTGGATGTCTGACTACACTGACACCAAGCAGCCACACTTTATTCATGAAGAGGCGTACCCTAAACAGGCCGAGCAGCTCAACTTGCTCAAGTCGTACACTGAGTACGATTTCCGCATCCCCACCTCCAATTTGAAGACCAAAACGAAGCCATCGGTGAACGAAAGCGACGTGACATTGATGCAAGAGTACGAAGTCAAGAAACTCTACAACGAGGTGGTGTTCTGGCGTTCCACCGTTCAATTCTTCTGGTCCATCTGGGGTCTTCTCCAGAACGGTCCGCCAAAGAAGTCGGATGTCGGCTTGTTGGGCTTCAATTCCGAGGAAAAGGGTGTCCACTCTACTTTCAAGATCACCACCGGAATGGACGCCTTGTCCGTTGACGACTCGGCGATTGTCGAGGACGACGGTGTCATTGCCTCGAACGACGACGACTTTGACTACCTCAAGTACTCACAACAGAAAGCTGCGTTGATTGTGGGCGACATGATCTCGCTTGGACTCTTGAGCATCAACGACATTCGTCCAGAGCACCACAACCTCATCAAGTTCCTTGATACCCGTACCTTTGATATTTAGGTCACCGGATGGCCCGACTATCAACGCTAAAATGCCCACTGGCGCAAGTGGCGCCAACATCTCCACAAGAGATGCCGCAACATCTTAGAACATGCCCTTATAGACTATGCCCTATAGAACATGCGCTAGACTGCCTGGCCAGCCATTGGCGACCCAGTATGCTTCGACACCGCAATTGAACTCACCAATACAGTCATTGAAGAAAAAAGTTAATTTGAAGCGGAAGATTGGTCCTTCCCTCTTCTCTCTGTAGAATGCACTTAGTGTGCATCCAGGTCTCCAACTCCATGTGCGAAAAGTTGGAGGTCAAGATATAAGCGTATTCATGCTATCGTACAGAACAGCAGGCTACAACGGCTACGGGGTCCGGTATTCGCCCTTTTTCGACAATAAGCTTGCAGTCGCCACCGCGGCTAACTATGGATTGGTTGGAAACGGCAAGCTTTTCATTCTTTCCATCGATGGTCAAGGTCAGATCCACAACGAGATTGGATGGGAAACTCAAGACGGGCTTTTCGACGTGGCCTGGAGTGAGGTTCATGAGAATCAGCTTGCTACGGCGCTGGGAGACGGGCTGGTGAAAATTTTTGATTTGAAGGTGCCTCAGTTTCCCGTGATGAACTACAAAGAGCACCAGAGGGAGGTATTCTCGGTGAATTGGAACTTGGTGGATAAATCCAGCTTTGTCACGTCGTCGTGGGACGGCTCTATCAAGGTATGGCAGCCCACGCGGCAGCAGTCCATGCTTACGTTGAATCCGAAGGTGGATCAGAGCACCAAGGTGAACCAACAAGCACCTCCAACCAGCCACAACCAAAAGGCCAATTTCAACACCACGCAGTGTGTTTACAACGCCAACTTCTCGCCCCATTCGCCGCTGACCATCATCAGTTGCAACGGCCTGTCGCATGTACAAATCTGGGATATCAGAGCTCCCCAGCCGCTTCAGCTTGATTACATTGCTCACGGAGGCCTCGAGGCTCTATCGTGCGATTGGAACAAATACAAGCCGAACGTGGTGGCGTCAGCAGGTACCGATAAGGCCATCAGGGTATGGGACCTCCGGATGATTGCCAAACTCGATAACCCGGTTCCTGGACAGCCGCTGCCAGCATACCATTTGCGTGGACCAACGCCGCTCAACGAATTGTTGGGTCACGAATTCGCCGTCAGAAAGGTCGTGTGGTCGCCTCATCTGGGCCAGGAGCTTTTGCTGACGTCGTACGACATGACATCCAGAGTGTGGGTCGATCAGCTGGAAGACAGAGCGAGGTTTTTGAACAACGGTGGCTCTGGATGCAAGGGTGTGATGCGCCAGCACAGGGAGTTTATTGTGGGCTGTGATTACAGTCTTTGGGGTGAGCCTGGCTGGTGTGCCACCACAGGCTGGGACGAGATGGTGTATGTGTGGGACACCAAGCGTGTGCCACCGAGGTAAGGAGAAGTTGAGTTCTTTTGACTCAATTGGGGCTTGACTCAATTGGGGCTTCTTGAGATCTGTGGGGGGCTCTTTTGACTCAATTGAGCGGTTTGGTGGATTTCCAGCCGTACATGGTTCCTAACTGGACTGGTGCTGCAAACGCGCTGTACCATTGTCTGGCGACTAAGGCACCACGAAGATTACTTGATGGGGTACTGGGGATTCACTTGAGCAATTGCTTGACTCCAGCGTTTGGGAAAGTCTCCTTTGTCATTGTTGACCGTGAATCATGATCGCCATTTCGAGTGATACTTCTCTAATCTGCAAATTTGGTATCCAAAGCACGGGCAGCCAATCGCCAACGTTCATCCTTCTTCATGCCCACCAGGCGAACATTGTTTATCTAATCTTCGCCAAGATGACCGACACGAGATAGACAAACATTACATCACCTCACATACGGTGGTGCCCCGGAAGGACGATTGGGGAATCCGAAAGTCAAACTCTGAGCGGTCCCCCTTTGTCCTCGCCACCAAAAGGCTATTCCCAGAATAACCTTTCCATTGCCCAATATTACCTATTTGTTTATGAATGAGAGCATCTACATCTTCCTCATTGTAGGCTCTCACCGTATCGGTGAATCGAAGTGATCTGCGATCGTCTTCTCCCACATGATCTTATCGCCCGCTTTAATATTTATTTCAGCGAGAGAAGATTTTTGCTTATTATGGACGTTAATTACCCCATCTACTTGCCCGAAAGCCTGCTTACACCCCTCATTCGAACTCCATCAAATACCAACTGACACAAATAAAAACAAAACACCACCGAAGCTCGGGGTACCCCTGCATGACGAGGCAATGTTATTTTTGCGTGTTCTCTCGCTGCTGTCACTTGTGCTTATTTGCTAACTAAAAGTGTGTTTGCTGGAGCCAGGGACAACGGCTGCACAACCTGCACATGGTTAGAGGTCTTTACCACAAGTGGTAGGCTGCGTCCTGTGCCGTGTTGTGCTATTGCCCAAAGAGGCAAGCTAATACCCCAAGCCTGCAGCACACTGCGTCTGTGTTTACCTTTTAACCGTTGCAGCCATTCTTGCTCAGAGCTCTTTGCATCCTCTTATATAGCCAACCGTTTTTCTCTATCACATTCACACACCATGGATTCGAATCTCGTTATTCTCTCCTTGGAGTACTCCTACTTGCTCAACCCACTGGCTGGGTTGTTCGAGTCCGACTCTGGTCTCTGGCAGAGTCTGGCCACTTACCTGCCTACTTTAATCCACCTGGCTGGTCATTTCAGAGTCTTGGATAATATGAAGCCTTTAAGGGAAACCGTGAGGAAGTTGAACCACAACGGAATGGGCGAGGAGAACCATGTTAAGCTAGTGGAGCCTCAATTGAACAACCAGCTCATCACAATCCTGATAAACGGCCTGGAGACGTTCATTAACATCTCGAGAATTGAACTTTTACGTGCCTACCACCGCGTCGACGCTAAAAAAATCGTGCTTTCCGAGGCCGATTTCGCCAATATCGGGCCTGAGTTTGTTCTGAGACTAGAAGCTATAGCCTCAAGATGTCAAGTTGAACTTATGGTCACCGACAAGAACATTGACTTTAAAAGCACACAAATGGCGCCAGGACCGTTTGGTCTATATATCGCTGGTCCCACGGAAAACTTGTCTGTGGCTGAAACCGAGTGTCGTATTCTAGTGGATGCTCTTTTGCACGGCTGCAAAGTCCACCAGATCAACATTCCGTTATCGCTTCTTCCAGGTATTGGAGGCGTGAATTTGGCCAATTTTGCCGAAATCGCCCGCCAGCTGAACGTCAACATCTACCTTCCTTCGCTTATGCCACACAGTTTTAATTGTGAGCTTGTGGAGACCAGTGAAAGCAGCATATGGATCACTGCAAAGAAAGTTCCTGAGCTTCTTTTAGCAAAACGTATTCTTGAGGATTTGGTGGCTACGGTGGATTGCAGAATCAACCTGGCTGCAAACTTGTACTTGCATGAGATTGAGATTGCTAAGGACAAGCTAGATATCATCACGCTTTATGCCCAGAGAGATGTGCTGAACATTATGTTTTTGCATGGCACATTTATCCAGATCCCCAGCCTAGGCGAGGCCAAAAACAACAAAATCATTGTTCAAGGCCACAGCACCGAGGCGGTTTCCAAAACCGTGCAAGACATCTCCAACTTGAGCTGCAACTACTACAGCTTGGACATCAAGTTTCCCGAAGGCTCGAGATCGCCAGACTTTGAATACTACTTGATCAACCTCATCAATGTCCGCAAAACGTGCATTCTTACGTATAACTGCAACGGCATGAGCATTGTGGGAGTCAAGGACGAGGTCAGACTGCTTCTCAAGGACTTGATTTCAGGACTTCAGAACACCTCTCTTTTTACGGATCCTGGCGACGGATCGAGCCAATTCCGCTTTTCTGTCAGCATGGAGCTTCGGAACGAACATAGAGAGTTTCTCAGCGGCAAGAAAAACGGTAAGATCATCAAGATCCTCAATCAGCTCAACCACATGCCACAGATCCGTTTCAGGCATTTGAACGAGTACAATTTCTTGATCTCCTCCACGATCTCCGTATCAGCCGGAGTCAAGAACAAGCAGATGTCGTCAGTGTTTGACATTCTTCTGAAGAGCGTCAGTCTCATTGAGATGGAGCTTCCAGCAGAAATGCAATTCAACATTCCGGAAGTTTTCCACAAGAGCATCATCGGCAACGGTGGATCCATCATCCAGCTGATCATGAAGAAGTACAATGTGTTCATCAAATTCTCCAGTCTGAAGAGAACACCCGAGAAAACCACCGACGATAGAATTCTCTATTCCTTCAGAAGAGACAACAACGTGCTCATCAAGTGCCCCATGAAAAACCTGAAGAACATTCTTTTCGTCAAGTACGAAATCGACCAGTTGGTTGCACAATGCTGTCTGAACACATTGGCCCAGCTGAGAGGCATGGCCACCATCTACAACAGCGTTGGATTCAGGCTTCTCAAGAGTCACTACCTGATGCTTATCAGGAAACAGGGCCAGGATCTCAGGTTCGTTAACGACCTCGAAACTGACTTCAGCACCTACATTGACTTCCCTACGTCTCTTGAAACGTTCAAGGGCGAGAGCTCCCACCTTTTGGCGATCAAAGGAAACGACAATAGGCCCCACTCATGTGCCCTTAAATTGGCCTCCATGCTTCCTGAAACATGGGAGTTTCAAGTCACCTTCTGCCCCGGCAAGTTTGACGGAACCTTCAGCGAAAGCAACGAGGATTTCAGAGAGAAAGTCGTCATTCCGTTCAGGCTTCTTTTGGATGTGGAGCTTGCGTGGAACAGAAACCCCGTGGATTCGGAAACCCAGGAACCGCTTCCGTACCACCAGGTGTTCCTCAGTTCCTACAACGAGGCCAACGCCCAGAAAGCCATTCAAGATTTGACAATCTACCTCAGAGAGCAGCGTTTCCTTATTTTGGACAAACAGGCCATGCACTTTGACCCTATAGTGCCAGCCTTGATGCTTCCACCTACCCCATTAGCTTCACCATTGCGTTCTCCCGTCAGATCCCCCACAAGATCCCCCACCAGATCGCCAGAACGCTACTCAGACATGTCTATGGACTACACCAGGTCCCCCACCAGGTCCCCCACGAGGTCTCCTACCAGACAGCCTATGAGCAACAGCGGATCCCCCAAGAGATCCCCCAACCGGCCCCAGGCTCTTCGAACCATCACGAATCAGCCGGTCAACTCCATGAAAAAGATACCCAGCTTGGTGGCTCCTTTGGCCCCCAACTTCCACAATGTGCCCAGCCAGTGGGGACCATGATTCACTGTATAGTAATTCACGAAGTGTTGAAAGAGGTGTAGAGGGAAGGTAGAGTTAAATGACACTTGAAGATAAATTGAGACTTGAAGAGAATTTGACACTTGAAGAGAATTTGACACTTCAAGCAGAGTTATGAAAGTCTTCGTACAAGAGTTGTTCTGACTGATTGAAGATGATTATAGCGGCATTTGCAGCCAAATGAGTAGTCTGAGCCAATATGATGGATTTTATGTTTCGAAAAAGCAAAGCTTTACCAATAACGCCAAACTAAACCATTTTGGTCACCCACTAATCATTTTGGTCAGAAGTGAAAGTATAAAGAGAGTGGGAAGAAAATTACAGTAGATCCTAAGAGCTCGCCATATGCTGTCAGCATCAATAGAGATGTGCTATATAGATATGTGCTATATAGATATGTGCTATATAGATATGTGCTATATAGATATGTGCTACATAGATATGTGCTATGAAGATATGCAGACATTCACCCTTTCCTCCTTCCCATTCTTGAACCAGCCTATCAAAAAAGCCACTAAACTGATCCAATTTGTGGCCCAAAAATAAACAAGCCTTGCACGGCGACTCCGATGATGCCTTGGAGCCGCAGAGACCGAGGAAGATCAACACCAGAACTTTCACAATTCCGTGCAAACTTTCTTAATTTCACTTTTCTTCAACTTTCCACCACACTGCCGGATTTACCCAGAATCTTTTACCCACAATGAAATTCCGGAGAACTTTCCCCAAACCCGAAATCTTCTCCACCCGGATCCCACTCGTTGGGCTCCACAACCACAAAATCCGAACGGTATGCATCCTGACGCACACCTGGTGCATCACCTTGGGCTTCTTGGCCCATAAACCGTGGAATTCCTGGGCGGTAGAAGTGCCCTAGGTGATTGGTGAAGGCCAAATTCGATAAAAACGTAATTTTCATAAAAAGTAGAAAATCGAAAACAGTGGGGCTTCGACTACCTGGACCTGCTCAGATCCATCTACCACTCTCAACCCCGATAAGAACATCGTTAGAAGCCCCTGACCGGACTTTCCCTACCCTCCCAAAATTCCAAATCCTCTCCGAAACACCACAAAACACTCCCAAATCTCCCCCCAAAACAGCCAAATCCCTCCCGAAAGCGCCGTCCAGCAAGGCCATCTAAGGTTCCTCGGCCCCATTCTGCGCATTTAGCCCACCCTACATGTCAGCTAACGGCATTCCCGATGAGGACACCGCCTTAGTTCCGAGGCCCCACAGAACCAGGGGCCAAAGCCCACCCTTCAAACTTTTTGCAATCTTCCAAATCAGGGCAATCTGGGAAAAATAGACGAACAATCGCCGGTCTTTGTGGCGGGCTTTTCCTCATCCGGTAGTGATTCGCAGCCATCGCAGGACTAAATTGTCTAACTCCCGGCGCCCCTGGGGCCGGAGATCCTCGAATCCGGAAAAAATCCGGGCCAAAAGAGACAATTTGTAGAAAAGAGCAGACCCGAAATTACCTAAATCATTCAACAAAAGGTGCTTTTAAAACCACAGAACGCAATTTGGGCGCACCCTGCCCCACGAATTAGCCTAGCGCTGATGCCCAACATTCGCTGTCGCGCCGCGGACTGGCGCCGGATTGTTGGCACCTACCATCCCAGCAAGAACAGGCCACCACGACGGGGCCACTGCCAAAAGAAAAAAAGTAGAAAACCGTAAAAATAAAAGTGGGAATCCGCCGCCTTATATACTTTTTTCCTTTTTCCCCCCTCAAAACGCAGCAGCCCGGACTGCAAGCTGCACCGTCTTGCAGCCGTTGTGCTCGGAGGAAAGCCTCGCCAGATTTCCTCGCTCGCTTCGCTCGGAGTGCTTATAACCTACAGCTTCTGCTCTTCAGCCACCCATGCATTTTTCATTTGGTCTTCCACACCTGGAGATATTCCGCTGGCTGGCGCCTTCGGGACCGCCTTCGTCACCTTTCGAAAACGCCCTTTTATCTGCCGTCTTCGATGCCTCCATGAAGGTGCTGATGCCGCTAACCATCGCCGTGGTGTACTTCTCTGCGGTGCACTTTGTCAACCCAATTGTCATTGACAGACAGAAGAGAAAAGCACACTTGGCCGATGAGAAGCTCAACGAGCTGCAGACCAAGAGATTGAGGCCTGCTCCGACGAAAATCGCCCAGACGGGTCTCTTCAAGGTGCTCGTTTTCCTCCACAATGTCTTTCTCTGTATCTACTCGGTCTGGACGTTTGTGGGCATGCTCAGATGCTTCGGCAGAACCGTGGCGTCCATGTCGCTCAAGTACAACTCGTCCCACTCGCTTTCCAATTTCGTGTATGCCGTTTGTGACGTGGAAAACGGCGTCTTCAAGCAGGACTCCCTCACCAAGAACCTCACCATCTACGGCTGGTGGTTCTACATGCTGAAGTTCTACGAGGTTTTGGACACCGTGGTCATTCTCTTGAAAGGTCGCCCTTCGTCGCTTTTGCAGAGCTACCACCACGCCGGCGCCATGATGTGCATGTGGAGTGGAATCCGCTACCGCTCGCCTCCAATCTGGATTTTCGTGGTCTTCAACTCCTTCATCCACTCCTTGATGTACTTCTACTTCTCCGTGTGCTGCTTGAAGATCAGGGTGCCTGTGATTGTCAAGAGAGTGCTCACGTCGCTTCAGATTTCCCAGTTTGTCGTGGGCGGCTCTTTGGCTGTTTTCCACGCTTTTGTCTGGTACTGGGACCAGCAGAGCAACTCGTACAGCAACTGCATCGAGCTGGCCGAGCAGGCGTTGCCACTTATGATTAACGTTGCTTACTTGACGCCGTTGACCATGTTGTTTGCTGCTTTCTATATCGAGAGCTACATCAAGGGCGGCAAGAAGTAGCGGGCGAATATGTAAATAAGAACAGTTGAATGGAGGTGGTGGACGTAGATTGGGGGTGAGTTGGAGTCGGTTGTGGTTTGGACAGACTTGAATAATGATGGAGGTGCTCTGTGGGACCCATTTTTCAAGGACCGGATCTCTCTCCGATTATTCATGATACTAGATAAAACCCTGAAAATAAAAGCCTCTTCATGAGTTTTCTCCTTATTGTGGTGGATGGGTGAATTGAAGTTGGTCCTGGTTTTGAAGAGTCTCGAATGAAGACTGTAATACTCTGTGGGGCTTTTATTATAGACGCCAGATCGGCCTTTAACGTTTTGAAATGATTCATGAACATACGCATAGATAGTGCTTGTCCTTCAAAACAACTCTCTTTCTTGGTGGAATATCTGCTTGTGTGGAAAGTTGATCCGAGTCATAGATAACGAAATCCGGGGTAATGCGGTCCACCTAGCCGTCAGAATCAGCAGCTTGAGAAAGAAATCGGCAACAAAACGTCACACAGCATTTCAGTATTGGATAATTTCTCGGAAAAACCACGAAACTGTGGATTTCAATCCAACTCCCCTAGCTCCATCTGCTTATCTCTTGGTTGCGGCGTTCTCGGGACCTCGGAGTTTCAGATAGCGGACTAAGCCGAAAATCCCCATAATCAGCATCTCCAAGAATCAAGATACTTCAATTTAGAAAGGGATCGCTTCCATCCACCAAAACCACCAAAATCGCCGACTTCACCCTGTTGTAGTTTGTGCTGGCTGCGAAAGCTTATTGTATGACGTCAGGCCAACGGGAAACAAAGAACACCACAAGCAACTCCACAATCCAAGAACCGTGGACCATCGAAAATTCCATGTAAACCTCGAAAACACCCGAAATACTGCAAAATCCAAATTCACCCCTCAGGACACTCACGCGTAGGACCCTGGAATGTCTGACGTCATCGGCCGAGATCCGCCATTTCTGAAAAATAGCCTCGAGCGTCCAGTGCTCCAGACCAAGAAAATACAAATTTCAACCAACTACGAGCTTTTCACACCGCGGTTGCAAATGTCTCACAAGTGTTGGAGGTGTCCCACATCCAGCAAGCAAAATACGGCATCGTGCATGTTGCCGACCCGAGTGCAAACCGGGTTACAATACCAGTGTGGATGTTTTTTTCGTGATTATGGCGTTTGTTTTAGAATTCAAACACTACGACCCGGGGACACGTCGCCGAACATCGGAACAATGGTGGATTCGTAAATTGCGAGTTGCAGCCTACGATAAGATAACAGTAGATAAGAAGCAGGCTGTGGGGAAGGACGAAAAGGGTGGTAGTCGAAAAAAGCCTAATCTGTTTTGTACGACTTGACACCTCGAAGTCGGAATTTTGCGTACGAAACACCCGTTTTTCCTGGGGGTAAGGGGCATTGTTATTGGTCCTTGGCTCGCTTGAGTAGGTCCAATCCAGGGTCCACCCAGCTGCCCTACCATCAAATCAGAGTCAAATTTCATTGAAGTGAATAATTATCAAAATAGCTTTATTCATTTAAATTACTTCTCCAAAAACTCAAAAACGTTAACCACGGAGGGTGGTGCTGCTGGTGATCAACGGACTGTACGCATAAATCTCAATATCTATTCTCACTTGCCAACTACTTCTAATGCCAACATGAGCAGGTACCAAAGGATCGATTCTGTGCCGGACTCCGGCCAGGCCTCTGACGAAGAAACCGGGCCTCCCGGAAGACCTTCGCCTTTACATTCCGTGCTTTACACCGCCCCAGGCGAAAAACAGCCTCTCCAGCCTTTAGGCCACTTGGACTCCCTAGACCAGTCCTACGAGAAACCAGGCCACGACCACGTGAGCGACCTGCTTTCTTCCCGTTCCTCCGTGGATTCCGACAACGACCCCGTGATGTTGGGCTCGCTGGACGCGCTGCTGCTGAAGGATGGAAGGGTGGACCCTGACGACTTTGCTGAATGGGAAACCATAGACACTGCTACGGAGCACGACGGGCTCAGACGCCGGGGTGCCTCGGAACCGGGTGTCCACATGGACAACTATGGCAATTCGTACGACCACGTTGATTTCGACGCTAGAAGGTACACCAGGAAGCTCAGGTTCAAGGGTAAGAAGTTGGTGTACTTTACGTCAGCGTTTGTGTCGCTTTTCGTGTCTTTGTTCGGTTACGAGCAGGGCGTGTGCCTGGGCATCTTGACGTTCGTCACTTTCAAAATGTACTTCAACTATCCCACGGCGACGGAGATCGGCTTGGTCATTTCCATCTTGGAGATTGGCGCCATGATCTCGTCGCTTTTGGTGTCCAAGATCTCGGACTCGATCGGCCGCAAGCGCACCATCTTGCTCGGCACGGTCATATTTATGTTTGGTGGTTGTCTTCAATCTTTTGCAACCAACCTTTGGATCTTCGGCGTCGGCCGTGTTTTCAGTGGTTTTGGCGTCGGTATTCTCTCCACCATGGTGCCGCTGTACCAGTGTGAGATCTCGCCGTCCGAGGAGCGTGGTAAATTGGTCTGTGGTGAGTTTACCGGTAACATTGCCGGCTACTGCTTGAGTGTGTGGGTCGACTACGCCTGCTACTTTATTCAGGACATTGGCGATGCTAGAGAGGACCCAAATACGCTTGCAGCCAACGTGTCATGGCGGTTGCCCCTTTTCATTCAGGTCCTCTTGGCCATTGTGTTGTTTATTGGTGGCTTCTTCGTCGTGGAGAGTCCTAGATGGCTTCTTGACGTCGACATGGACCAGCGTGGATTCCATGTGCTTTGCCTTCTCTTCCACGACGACCCAGATCCCCTCAAGGCAGAGCACGAGTTCTTTTTGATCAAAAACAGTATCTTGGAGGAGCGTATCAAGATCCCCAAGAAAGAGCGGTCCTGGAGACACATGTTCCGTGCGTACCGCCTCCGTATATTCATTGCTTGTTCGGCGTTGGCCTTTGCCCAATTCAACGGCATCAACATCATTTCGTATTACGCCCCCATGGTCTTCACCGAAGCAGGCTTCAAGGATTCCATGGCGCTACTCATGACGGGTGTCAATGGTACAGTGTACTTGCTCAGTACCATTCCACCATGGTTCTTGGTAGATCATTGGGGAAGAAAACCCATTTTGGTCAGTGGTGGTGCGTCCATGGGAATCTGTCTTAGTTTGATTGCGTTTGTCATGTGGCTCGATGTTGGAGCTACGCCGCTGCTTGTGGCCGTGTTGGTGGTCGTCTACAATGCTTCGTTTGGTTACTCCTGGGGTCCCATTGGTTTCCTCATTCCGCCTGAGGTGTATCCTTTGGCAGTGAGATCAAAGGGTGTCTCGCTCTCTACGGCTACTAATTGGCTTGCAAACTACATTGTGGGCCAGCTCACGCCGATTTTCCAGGAGACCATCGGATGGGCCATGTACATTTTCCCCGCCACCAGCTGTGTGCTTTCCATTGCTACCGTGATGTACTTCTACCCCGAGACAAAAGGTGTGGAGTTGGAGAACATTGACCAGTTATTCGACGAGTACTACGGAACCTCTACCGCAGGGTATGCGCAGGTTGGAGATGCCACTGCCATGGAGCTTGACGAATTTGACTACGAGCTTGGAGTAGCCAAGCCCGGGCCCGAGGAGCCCAAGCTGAAAAACGAGCTGCTGCGGTTATCAGGAGAAAGCTAGAAGGGGCCTCGAGCGCCCCAGAGCGGCATGATCCACCGCAAGCGAGGTGGACAAGGATAGACGCCGTGCGTTGATAAACGGTACAACGGCAGCGGCTCGCGGCAGGAGTCGAAAATTATTCAGGTTAGTAGATTTCGATACAAGTTTTTTATTTCGCCGGGCGCTGGCCCGGGTAGGTTTTGTGTTGGGTTTGAGGAATTTTAATGGTTTGCAGCTTTGACGCATAAGCCAGGGTTTGTGCGAGTCTAGGTGGTCGGGATGTGGCTCTGGTGCGTCTGGGTGCAAATAGGCTATTTTGGGAGCAAGCGTTTGCGAGCAGAGCAGGAAGAAATTTTTCCAGTGAAGGGCCAAAAAAAGAAGGAAATGTGGAACACCGGCAATCGTCGTCTATCATGCGTCTTCTGGAACTTCCCCTTTTGCTTCCTTTTTTTTTTTTTTCTTTCCTTCTATCTAGGATGATGCCCCGACGTGCGGCACCGCAAACGACGACCCTACAGTTTACCGCGCTGCGCCAATTGCTGGGCCCAAAGTATAAAACCCTCGAGGCGCCGACCTTATTTGACAGCTTTCCCCAGAACTTTAGAAACTCAAAAAAAGTACCAACCAAAATCAAGTGGAATGCTCGCCGTGGCCAGCTCCCTGTCGCTCAACAGCGACTTTTCCGATGACTCCCTCGACAGCATCTTTGACCGTCGTGATCTGGTTTCCAGCATCGACACCGCTTTCTCGGACATCAGTGCTCAGTGCGCCTGCCTGCCAGTATTAACGGCAGCCACGGCACTGGCCCAAAAATCACCAGTGCGGGACCCGCGGGCGGAACTTCTGTACATATTGGCCGCCGCCGAGGATCTTGAAAAACAGGAGAAGGAACGGGCGAAGGAAGAGAAGGTCGAACAAAAAGAGGTTGCCCCAGAACAGGAGTTGCAGACGTTTTCTGCCAGCAATCCGCAGACCCCAACCGAATCGCATAAACCCAAATTTCGCAGCCGGGAGACCCGCGCCAACTCGAGGTTTCTACGGCTCTATGCCCACGACACTGCCGCCCGTGCCCACGGCAGACTTCCTATGCTCAACTCGCCCGAGGAACTTGCGCTTCTTCGAAGAATCCCAGCGCTCCGTCGTTTTGACAAAAACCACGATTTGGCCAGAATCTCGGCGCTTTCGTGTAAGAAGCTCTGGGACGCAGTGGTGTTGCCTCCTCGGGCCGATCCGCTCCCCAAGTCTACGGTGGACAGCTACGCGTACTTGCGTGTGGAAGCCAAGGGCGGGTTGGTGATTGAGCGTGGAAGAAACGGTAGTAAAGTGGTGCCTTGGGCTCCTCACAGAAAATGGGTTCCTCCTGCTGGTCAGATGGGCACCGGACAGTATACCGTGAAAGGATGGGTCCCCTCGAGGCTTGTGCCCAAGGAGTGAATAAGCCATGAAGTGAAACTTTTCACCGCAACTTTGTCTCCGGTGGCTGCAAATGCGAAACATGCATGTAGCCCCAGAGTTCCAACATTGACAGTCTAGTGCGGCGCCGTGTCTCACATTGATACCCTATTTAACCACCAGAGCGTTTGCTCTGAATTTGATAAAACTAGACTCTGGGCCAGTTCCAGAGATGTGATTGCATTTACCCACCGAGCAGTTCTCGAGCGTGCTCGGATGATTAGTAACGAGACAACGATTAATGTATTGGAGATTTGTAGAGAAGTAGAGGAGAGGAGGTGCCGTCGAGGGAGGTATGTTCCTCGAAATGCAGTTTTAAGTAGGGCAGGGCCTATCGGGATTATGTTGTCGTGTGACATTAGGCGAGATACGTATGGTGAGGTATTTATGTGGGAGACTTACTTCTGAGGCTTTATCTGAAACGGAACCTGGACGGTGAAATAGCCGATCTTCGTTTAAAGAAATCGGATCATTATCTTCTGTATATCAGATCATTATATTTTGTCTTTTTTGAGGTAGCCTGCTTCAATCACTGACTTTTACGCCACACCTTCAAGATGCTGTATCTTGATTTGCTGACGACAACAATCGAGACAATTCCAGCACAATGCCCTAAATGAAACAGTTTGCTAATTCTACAAGGCTTCAGTAAGTGGCCACTGCCTTCTTGTGCTTGACAACTACCTTTGTATTAGAGTCTCGTGAGACTTCAACACGCATACCATTATCTGAAGAAGAGAATTCACGTGAGAAAAGTAGAAGAGGACACTTTGAAAAATCAACTAAAAAACATCAACATCTTTCGATAAGACGCCCTAACTCTGAATATATCCTCCACTACTTAGACGGTGCGACAGTCACAACACACACGTGACCTACAACCACCACCTAGCGATGCGGTTGCCAGCTTATACGCAGACCGTGCTTCCCGCACCCGTGCACCACATAGTGAGGACCCACGAAAAATTCTATCAAAAAAGTTGCATCCTCCATCAACCACAGACATGGCTCCAGGAAAGAAAGTCGCTCCCCTCCCTTTGGCCGCCAAGGCCCAGGCTGCTGAGCCAAAGCAGGCCAACCCTTTGATTGAGACCAGAAAGAGAAACTACGGTATCGGTCAGGACATCCAGCCAAAGAGAAACTTGTCCAGATTCGTCAAGTGGCCCCAGTACGTCAGATTGCAGAGACAGAAGAAGATCTTGTCCATGAGATTGAAGGTCCCTCCTGCCATTGCTCAGTTCCAGAACGTCTTGGACAAGAACACCGCTGCCCAGACTTTCAAGCTCTTCAACAAGTACAGACCTGAGACTGCTGCTGACAAGAAGGAGAGATTGACCAAGGAGGCTGCTGCCATTGCTGAGGGCAAGAAGGCTCACGATGTTTCCCCTAAGCCAGTTGTCGTCAAGTACGGTTTGAACCACGTTGTTTCTCTTATCGAGAACAAGAAGGCCAAGTTGGTTTTGATTGCCAACGACGTCGACCCTATTGAGTTGGTCATCTTCTTGCCAGCTTTGTGCAGAAAGATGGGTGTCCCTTACGCCATTGTCAAGGGTAAGGCTAGATTGGGTACCTTGGTCCACAAGAAGACCTCTTCTGTCGCTGCTTTGACCGAGGTCTCTGCTGAGGACGAGGCTGAGTTGTCCAAGTTGGTGTCTACCATCAACGCTAACTTCATTGAGAAGTACGAGGAGCACAGAAAGCACTGGGGTGGTGGTATCATGGGCAAGAAGCACAACGACAAGGCCGCTAAGAAGGCTAAGGCTTTGGAAGTTGCCCAGGCCTCCGGTCAAGCTTAAGTCATGTATAGTTAATCAGGGCTCCGCCCGTTGGACGAGAGTTGTAGGATTTGTGCGTTGTAGCGAGGAAGGTGTGGAAAGCGTGGATTTAGAAGTGTAAGATGGATAGACTGAAAATTATGAAAAATGTGGATACCTATTCTTCAATGAACTGATATTTGGATAGAATAATAACTTCAAAGTTAGAGGTGAAAGCCCCTCGCTCGAAAGGGTCTCATGAAAGGGTCTCGCTTGATTCAGCCGGTTCCACCGGTATCATTCTACCCTGTATCTGGCTCGATATTACTATACCTGCGTTCTCAGTATTGCCTAGCGTTGCCATAGTATGCACATACAGCGCCACCCAATCCGCCAAAACAACCTAATTTTCAAAATATACAACAATTGTGATTCTAATCACTATTAAACAAATCTTTCTAGTCGGAAGGGCCTCCCTCCAGGTCGGCTTCTTCACATCCGACGGGCCATTGGATCGAAAGACCCGTGCACCAGCGCCTGTATAGCGGTGTCCCAGATTGACCAATCGCTAGGCTCATGATTTGCAACCTTCGCACCATCCAATTTCCAAAAAAACAGCCTTCACCAAGACACCTTCATAAAACCAGGTTCCCCACACCCAGAGGCACTTCCCATTTACAAAGCTGCCCAGGTTCCCTAGTATAGAATGTCGTTTTTCAGAGACTTGATCGAGCAGGCCTTCCCTGTGGCCTATGCTGCCGAGGTATGTTGAAGCATCGAAGATTCAAGACAAGCAAGGCGAGGCAGATGTCCTACGATCCGCCGTTAGCAAGATAGAATGACCTAGTTTAGAGACCTGAAATATTCTGTTTAATCAGCTCTTCCGCCACCCGCTTTCCCGAATCTTTATCCAATCTATAAACCATTTACTAACCGATAGCCCGAGGAAGAGGTGCCTGTTGACGCCGAGGAGGAGTCCCAGGAGGAGTCCCAGGAAGAGACCCAAGAAGAAGACGCCGGCGAGGCTGCCGAGGATGCCGCTGAGGAGGCTCCAGAGTCTGACGATGCCGAGGAAGAGGAGGATGAAGATGAGGACGAAGATGAGGACGACGAGGATGACGAGGAGGAGGTGACCGACCCCTTCGACGATCTCCGTGAAGAGTGTGCTAAGACCGCCTCGTGTGTGCCATACGTGCACCACTTTGACCACTGTGTGGAGAGAGTGCAGAAGGAGCAAGAGGAGGAGGACTACGCCCACAAACACTACAAGGAGGACTGTGTTGAGGAGTTTTTCCACTTGCAGCATTGCATCAACGACTGCGCTGCTCCTAGGTTGTTCTACAAGTTGAAGTAGGCGCCCATCAAAATCCACTGCATGTATTCCTCATTCACTCGACATCGCCACACCGGCATTACAAATAGAAACGCTATCGTCATGGAGAAGTGTAGAACGTAGAGGGTAGATTGTGCATTTGAGATTTGACCGGAAGTGGCGGTACATTGATGGGATATGCCTATGTTCAAGCCAAACGGCAGGCAAGACGCATGTCATTTGGAGCAACCATGAAAAGTTGGTTTGGCAGTTGTGATGAATGGGTGACTATTCAAGTCATTATTCGATGAAAATGAGAGATAGAGCTACGTCGATTCAACCTCAGATCGAAGAGAGTCATCAATTATTGATTGAAGCCTCATTTTCATGCTACCTCAAGGAACACAATGTGCATTGAATGTGATCTTACCGAGAGAGCCCCTTATGGCAGGCTTTTAGCTCTATAAATATTTCAATTCCAATAGTCCGCAGAAATCACCTTGAAACTTCGACTCAGATAATACCGAAGTGTGGCTAACAATATTCGAATTTCGTTACCAGTAATACGCTCATAGCCCAAAGAATGGAATATTTCCCAGTTATTTAGCAGAATTGAGCGTGAGAGAGATGGAGTCATAAGAGTTAAAGTATACATCGTCGTTACTTGTAGTGTCTTCTTTCACAACAATTGCACCAACACTATGTATAGACTGCTTAAAGCAGCATTTAGAAAACTCGTCGCTCAAACTTATATTTTCAGATCAGTTAAACTATCTTCCTTCGACGATGCCTCATAAAGGCTAGTTGACGTTTTTTGGTGATTGTAGTATCTACACCCATCTTAATCAGCACTAACATCTCGCTTGCAGATCTCATTTGCAACCATTCTAGGGGAATACCTACTAACTGCGAAAAGACCAACAGGGTGCACTAATTTCCATAAATAACCAGAACGATCAAAGAGCTCGTATTTGTCATACTCGACATCTTTTTTGTCTTTTGGCCACACAACCGACTAATTATACTCTCTCGTCGTCTATTGGTCGAATTTCCAATGCTCGTGACAATTAACTACTGCTCGTGACATGAAACACATGCTGCCAAAAGCTACTTGCAAAGCCATTGAGCCTATAGAAACATGCAAATTTCAAGAAACCCTCAATATTCAATCACAAACTCTCTTTCTAATTATATCTATCAGTATACTTTGTGTCCCCTGTTCAGACAACTTGGCCAACATGGACCGCCTGATACAACCTGCATAGACCATATGGACCTATCCCCTACAAACCACCACCCAAGGCCAAAATAAAAGAAAGCAACCAAATAGTAGAAATACTCAAAACCAATTGACCTCATACCGTCCACTCAATTATCCATAAAAACGCAGGTGTGGCTCTTCCACAACGGTAACTGCTGGCTAGTCCAACAAGGTATGCAGGCCCGCAAGCCGAAATCAACACGCAACTACTACCATGTCCAAGCCAATCATTGAAGAAAGACTCTACATCGGAAACATCGACTACTCAGTCACGGAAGATGATCTCCGGGCGTACTACGAAGGCTTGCTGGTCGAGCAGGTGGAGCTCCCCACCAAGACACTCTTCAAACACCTGAAGACCAAAAAGCCCATAATCAGAACGCTAGGGTTCGGATTTGTCCAGTTCGCTTCGAAGGACGAGGCCGACCAGGCTTTGGAGAAGACTGACGGCAAGGAGATCAAAGGCAGGACGGTTTTCGCCAAAAAGGCGCATCCTCCACCAACCGAGGAAGAGAGGAAAGAGAGAGCCGAGGACTGGAAGAAGTTCAAGCAGGAGAGAAAGGCCAGAAGAGAAGGTGTGAAGCCAGAGGCTGCTGCCGAGAAGAAGGCCGATAAGCCAGCTGAGGCTGCTCCTTCCAATGGTCCTCGTAAGAAGAAGCAGGATACGAACAAGACGCCTCAGGGTGTGCCTTCGGAGGACACTGTTTTCGTGACAAACTTGGACTTCAAGGCCACTTCCGAACTGTTACATGAGACGTTCGAGCCATTGAACCCCAAGTGGGTCCATGTGCCACCAAAGAGAGTGCCTCGTTACCTTCTTAAACAAATCAAGCAGAACCACAAGCCATTGTACAACAGAGGCATTGCTTTTGTTAAGTTCTCGGATCACGAGTCTCAGCAGCGTGCCATTGCTGAGTTCAATGGCACTGAAGTCAACGGGAGACAGATAATCGTGGAGGCTGCTGTGAACAGACCTGAGTCTGAGGAGCCAGAGGAGGCCAAGGAGGCCGAGGAGACTGCCACGGGTAACGAGGCTGTTGAGGAGGCTGCTGCCCTTGAGGAGGCTGCCTAAGCACACTCGAGAAGCCCCAATGGCTGCAAAAAAATAGCTTATCATGGGTATAGTTGTATCCTAGGGCCGAGCCCTGGACAAATGCACGTGATGCACAGTATCAACACACGTGATACAGATCACGTGCTGAAACTCACAAACCACATCTACAGTGAGGTTAAAAAAACTAGTATAGTAACCAACCATGGGTATGTAGGTCCCCCACGAGGCCGCAACAATCCGTTTTTGTATCATAATGCTAACTCCACAGGTAGAGTCATTCGTAACCAGAGAAAGGGTGCTGGATCCATCTTCACCGCTCACACCAGATTGAGAAAAGGTGCTGCCAAGTTGAGAACCTTGGACTACGCTGAACGTCACGGTTACATTCGTGGTGTTGTCAAGTCTATCATTCACGACTCCGGAAGAGGTGCTCCTCTTGCCAAGGTCGTTTTCAGAGACCCATACAGATACAAGTTGAGAGAGGAGACTTTCGTTGCCAACGAGGGTCTTTACACCGGTCAGTTCATTTACTGTGGTAAGAAGGCCTCTTTGAACGTCGGTAACGTGTTGCCTTTGGGCTCTTGTCCTGAGGGTACCATCGTCTCCAACGTTGAGGAGAAGGTTGGTGACAGAGGTGCCTTGGGTAGAACCTCTGGTAACTACGTCATCATCATTGGCCACAACCACGACGAGGGCAAGACCAGAGTCAAGTTGCCATCTGGTGCCAAGAAGATCATCAACTCTGACGCCAGAGGTGTCATTGGTGTTGTTGCCGGTGGTGGTAGAATCGACAAGCCATTGTTGAAGGCCGGTAGAGCTTTCCACAAGTACAAGGCCAAGAGAAACTCGTGGCCTAGAACCAGAGGTGTGGCCATGAACCCAGTTGATCACCCTCACGGTGGTGGTAACCACCAGCACATTGGTAAGGCTTCTACCATCTCCAGAGGTGCCGTTCCAGGTCAGAAGGCTGGTTTGATTGCCGCCAGAAGAACCGGTTTGTTGAGAGGTACCCAGAAGACCCAGGATTAAATAGCATAATGGCATGTGCCTGGACTGTCCAGGAAAAGGAAGAGCTGAATGTAGGAGGGAAGCCAGGGGCTAGTAATTACTCATATCTCAGTGACATGCGAGATAACGGTATGGTGAGTAATGCCACAATTTAGGTTTACGTTTTGTGAGACGTAGTAAATTGCTCATCGCAGGATCTCAAGCCATCGGTTCAAGCTTCTAGAGCCTAAGTGTCGGCTAAGTTGCGTAGACGAAGCAAGCCACAAAGTTTCACTCAGTTGCTTTAGAATTTACTATTTTCAAAAGGGAGAATTCAAAGTTTTTGTAGTCGACAAGTTGGAAACTGATAACGGAAACCTTCTTACCCTCCTGAAAAGCGCTATCATAGATAGAGGTTCCTGGCGCTGGTGCATGCACCTGCCGATTTGCAACCGATAACCGATCGACACTAAAACGCCGTCTCTTCCTCCCCAAACAAAATCAGCAAACCAACACGATCATTTAATTTCTTCAATTTTAATAAAATAAATTCTTTTTTTTTTCCTAAATCCAACATTTTATGCTAAATCTTCGGGCTCCTCCACTGCTGGATCCGGGTATCCAGGGCCCTGGCGCGCTGCGGCTGAGGCACTTTCGGGTCCGTCTACCGCGGAATCCGGCTGGGGACTCCGTTTGCAGCCAGCGATAAAAGGCGAATTTGAGGGTCGAGGAAATCCAAAAACCAAAGGGTGACGTCATTCGCCCGAAACTGACCAATCAGATCGCTCCACTCTCGAAAATCCCCTCCATTCTGTGTTGGCCTTCCCGCCAGCTGGTGCCGTTCGCAGCGAGGGTTTGCCACCACGCCGCAGCCTCAGGCGAGTGGCTGCAAACGGTCCGCTTAAGCCACGAAAGGCATTTTGATGCGTGGAATTGGAATTTCAATCGGGAAGTTCAACTTCAGGAAATGACGAAAAGTGAGAAACTTACTTAATTGACGAATGCTTTTAGTGACGGTGGGGGTGCCCTGGTGGGGTGCCACTCGATCCTGCGATGCCGCTCGGGCCTATTTTTCAGCCAACCTAGAATGCCCATCTTCAATCAAATCACCTTCGCCGTAAGCCCTCCCTTCTCTTTATACCGTATTTTCTCTCGATTCCCCGTAAAGGCCAAATCGTGAATAGCCTGCCCCGCGTCCCAATCGGGCCTTTGACTCATCCAACTGGGCTTATCACAATGACGAACGCAACAAGCACGGTGACAATTGGAAACGAAGAAACCGAAACCGACAAGGCCTGAGCAGCCAATTGAGCGTTTTCGGAAGTGTGACTCACTTGCTCCTCAGCCGAGTCGGCCTCCACTGGCTGCAAACGACTGTACCATGCGACCAGCAATTCCACCACCTTTTAAAACCGTCTCTCCTCAGAATCATTTAATCTGAAAAGAACAAAAAGCGGGAGCATCTTCATCATCAAACACCCCCTCTTCATCACTTTTTGTTTAAAAGTCCACCTTACTAGATCCCCCACCTGCCCCATATATAGAGCCTCCCGCGCAACTGGCTTTTTTCATCACCACCACCATCGCCATGTCTTGTCTACTATGGGACTACGACGACGTCCCACGGTGTGCCCGGACGGAGATAACTGCGTTGCTTCCGCTTGCCGTGGCCGCCGTGTCTTTGGCTTGGTTGCTTTTGAAAGCCGTTTTTGGCTATGCTAAACCGGTCCAGTTGGATGAGACGAGACCGCTTTTGGCGAACCCCGATGCCTACGGTGCCGTGGAGTCTTCCCAAACAAACAATGCTCCTGAAGTTTCCTTGCGTGAACGCCACTTTGACATGATGCGTTTGCCCAACACCAACGACGACGGAACGCCTCATGGCCAGTCTGTGGAACAACCCAAGTCCTTGGGCGATAGGGCCCGTCTTTCCATGGAATTCGTGCTTGTGGCCGTGGAGCTCTTCATGGCGATCATCACTTTTTTCGTCAGAGCATTTTCCAAAGAGTGGAAGGACCAGTTGGTCCAGATTGCCTTGGTGGCTCACTGGGGCTACGCATTTGCCTTGGTGGCCGTCAGAATCGTCAACATGAAGAAACAGAAGGTCGCCTTGCCCTCCTTGTGGGCACACCTGACCGCATTGTACCTTTTCCACGTTCTTTCAGCTACTGTTTTCTTCCGTTCTGCCTTGATCGGCCATGTCAAGCACAAGGCTGTGGCCTACTACTACGAGGCCGACTTTGCCATTACCTTGGTGCTTGTGTTCCTCGCCGTGACTTGCAGTGTGGGCGACCAGCCCGCCAGCATCTACGTGACCTCCGACGGCGCCACTCCTTCTCCGGAAAATTTGGCGTCGCTTTGGTCCTTTTCGACCTACTCCTGGATCGACAAGATGATCTGGAGAGCCCGCAAGTCCGCCTTGACTATGGGCGATATCTGGGGCTTGAGAGAGGACGACTACGCTTTGCATGTGCTCAAGGTGTTCGACTCCACGAAGCTGACTGCCAGATTCACCATCAAGCTTTTCTCCCACTTCAAGTGGTTGTTTGCTCTCCAGGGCTTCTGGGCCTTGTGTGAGTCTGTGTTGATTTTCCTCCCCACCATCTTGTTGAAGAAGGTCTTGGAGTACGTTGAAGATCCATCCACCACCACTCGTAGCATGGCATGGTGCCTTGTGTTGCTCATGCCCATCACCAAATTGATTGACTCGCTTTGCTCAGGTTTCTCCTTGTTCATTGGCAGACGTGTCTGCGTGAGAATGAGAGCTATCATCATTGGAGAGGTCTACGCCAAGGCCTTGAGAAGAAAGATCTCCATCAAGGACGTCAGTGACGACGAGCCTTCCGAAGAACAAAAATCTGTCGATTCCGACAAGAAGAAAGACGAAAGCTCTGGAACCTCCGAATTGGGTGCCATTATCAACTTGATGGCTATTGATGCTTTCAAGGTTTCTGAGGTCTGTGGTTACTTGCACTTCTTTGTTGGTGGCACCCTCATGCTTGTGGTCTGTACTGTGCTCTTGTACAACTTGTTGGGCTGGAGTGCTTTGGCTGGTTCCGCTGCCATTCTTGTCTTTTTGCCCATCAACTACAAGCTTTCGTTGTGGACCGGTGAGGCCCAGAAGACCATGTTGGCCACTACCGATAAGAGAATCCAGAAGATGAACGAGACTTTCTCCAGTATCAGAATCATCAAGTTCTTCGCCTGGGAGAACAACTTCTTTGCCAACATCATGAACATCAGACACGACGAGCTCTACTACCTTAAGTTGAGATCGATCTTGTGGGGACTCCAGAGTTTCAACTGGTTTGCCATCCCAACCATCATTACTGTCATTTCCTTCTACTGCTACACCATGATCGAGGGTAAGCCTTTGACTGCGCCAATTGCTTTCACTGCCTTGTCCTTCTTCACTCTTTTGAGAGCCCCTCTTGATCAGTTGGCTGACATGACCGCCATTGTCATCCAGTCCAAGGTGTCCCTTGACAGAGTCAGCGACTTTTTGGAGGAAGATGAAACCTCCAAATACGAGCAATTGGGCCAAAAGCGTACCGAGAACTCTCCAATTATCGGTTTTGAAGATGCCTCTTTCTCGTGGAACTCCTCCTCCGACGCTGACTTCAAATTGAGAAACTTAAATGTCGCTTTCAAACCAGGTAAATTGAATGTTGTCATTGGACCTACTGGTGCCGGTAAGACCTCCTTGCTCATGGCCCTTTTGGGTGAAATGGAGCTCTTGAACGGTAAGGTCTTCTTGCCTGGCATTATTCCAAGAGACGAATTAGTGATTGACCCAAGTTCTGGTTTCACTGAATCTGTTGCCTACTGTTCCCAATCTGCCTGGTTGCTCAACGACACCATCAGAAACAACATTATCTTTTCCCAACCATACATTCCTGAGCGTTACGACAGAGTCGTTGAGGCTTGTGGTTTGTCTCGTGATTTGCAGATTCTTCCTGCTGGAGACAAGACGGAAATTGGCGAGAAGGGTATTGCCTTGTCTGGTGGCCAGAAACAGCGTATCTCTTTGGCCAGAGCCTTATACTCCAACTCTAGACACATCTTGTTGGATGACTGTTTGTCGGCTGTGGATTCCCACACCGCTCTCTGGATTTACGAGAACTGTATTTCCGGTCCTTTGATGTTGAACAGAACATGCATTTTGATTTCCCACAACGTCGCCTTGACTGTGCAAAAGGCCGATTGGGTTGTTGTCATGGAAGACGGTAAGGTCAAGGTTCAGGGTAGCGCCGATGAATTATTGGACGGTGGCCATCTTGGTGACGACGAATTGGTTAAGTCATCTGTCATGAACTCTCGTAACCAGTCCAGCACCAACTTGCAATCCTTGGACTCCAAGAACTCCGAGATGAAGTCGAAGGCTGCTATCATCGAAAGCAAGTTGAAGAACTTGGCTGGAGACGAAGAGCAACAACCAGAGGCTGTTCGTACTGACGGTAAGTTGATCGAGGAGGAAGAAAAGGCTGAAGGTGTTGTGGGTCTTGACGTTTACGCTGGGTACATCAAGGAATTCGGTGGCTGGCCAACCTGGTCCATCATTATCTTCACTTATGGCTTCACTCAGCTTGTTTACATTGGTCAGTCTTGGTGGTTGAAGAAGTGGGCTCTGGACACTCCTGAAACGATTGCCAAGGTCATGAACGTTGTTGGTATCACCAGCGAGTCTATGCCTGGTGTGGTCAAGAGTGTTATCAACAACACCAACTTGGCCATCGCTTCGCTTTCTTCTGCTTATACCCAGGCTTCTGACGCTGTTACCGTTTTCAAAGTCAACCATCCTGTTCAGTACTACATTATCTGGTACGCTTTGATCGGTTTGGGTTACTCTGTCTTGGCTACCATTCGTGTGTTTGTGTCCTTCTTCGCTGGTATCAGAGCCTCGAACAGAATCTTCAAGCGTGTGTTGACGAGAATCTTGAGCGCCAAGTTGGGCTTCTTTGACAAGACGCCTCTTGGTCGTATTATGAACAGATTCTCCAAGGACATTGAAGCCGTTGACCAGGAGTTGACGCCATTTGGTGAGGCTACCTTCGCTTGTCTCGTTTCGTGTGTTTCCATCTTCATCCTCATCACTGTCATCACTCCAGGTTTCTTGTTCTTTGCAGTCATCATTTCCTACTTGTACTACTTGGTTGGTTCGTTCTACATCACGCTTTCGAGAGAGTTGAAGAGATTTGATTCGATCACCAAGTCGCCAATTCACCAGCACTTTTCCGAGTCTTTGACCGGTGTTGCTACAATCAGAGCCTACGGTGTCGAGTCTCGTTTCATGAGACAGAACTTGGCTGCCATTGACGAGAACAACAGACCTTTCTTCTACATGTGGGTCGCCAACAGATGGTTGTCCTTGCGTGTTGATGCCGTTGGTTCGCTTGTGATGTTGTTTGCTGGTGTTTTCGTCATTTTGTCTATCGGCAGAATCGATGCCGGTTTGGCTGGTTTGTCTTTGTCCTATGCCATCTCCTTCTCCGAAAATGCCTTGTGGATCGTTCGTCTTTATGCAAACGTGGAGATGAACATGAATTCCGTTGAGCGTTTGCAAGAGTTCATGAAGGTGGACCAGGAACCTCCAAGTGAGATTCCTGAGACCGAGCCTAAGCCAGACTGGCCTAGCAGAGGTGAGATCGAGGTCAAGGATGTCTCTTTGAGATATGCTCCTCACTTGCCTAGAGTCATCAAGAACGTCACCTTCCATGTCGAGCCATCCAACAAGATTGGTGTCGTGGGCCGCACAGGAGCTGGTAAGTCGACAATTATCACAGCATTCTTCAGGTTCTTGGACCCGGAGACCGGCTACATCAAGATCGATGATGTGGACATTTGCAGCATTGGCTTGCGTAATTTGAGACAGGCCATCACTATCATTCCGCAGGACCCTACCCTTTTCACGGGTACCATTCGCTCCAACTTGGATCCATTTGACCAGTACACTGACGAGCAGATTTTCGAGGCCTTGAAGAGAGTCAACTTGATTGGCCGTGAAGAAAGAGCCAGGGATGTGGACAGTTCTCAGGAGAACAAGAACAAGTTCTTGGACTTGACCAATGCCGTTTCCGAAGGTGGAAGCAACTTGTCCCAGGGTCAAAGACAGTTGATGTGTCTTGCTAGATCTTTGTTGAAGAGTCCAAAGGTGATTCTTTTGGACGAGGCAACGGCTTCCATCGACTACCAGTCGGATGCTATGATTCAGCAGACCATCAGAGAGGAGTTCGCTGGCTCGACCATTCTCACCATTGCACACAGATTGAGATCGATCATAGACTACGATAAAATTTTGGTGATGGATGCCGGTAAGGTTGTTGAATATGACGACCCATACGCCTTGATCGCCAATAAGGAGACCTTGTTCTACAGCATGTGTGAGAACAGTGGAGAGCTCGATGTTCTCACGAAACTCGCCAAGGAGTCTTTCGTCAGCAGAAAGAACAAGAAGTGAAGCATAGCATGATGTCTTCCCCAGCATGGTTATTTATTCATTGTACGTTTTCAAAAAAAAAAAAAAAAAAATCAAAAAAATAAAAAATCAAAAAACACGCACGTAGTTTTGCAGCCATCAACCTGCACCCTGGAGAGAAGCTTATCAAGATAGCGTGCCTCGACAATAAGCCGCAGATTTGAACCACAGTTCATCCCTCATGTTTCTGCAAAGGCAACACAATTATGTTGCTGTAGCAGGCAATGAGGATATTGAAGAAGATGAACGTTCAACTTCTTTGGACATTCTTCCCACAGAGGCCAACTTCCTTCCTCAGTTAGAGGAGGTGCCTCAAGGACGCCATTTGGGCCTCTTTTCCACAATCGTGCTTTTCGTGAGTCGAATATTGGGTTCAGGATTTTTGGCAATTTCAAGCGGAATGTATAATGATTGTGGAAGATCGCCATTCTTCTTCTTTCTTTCGTGGATAATTGCATGTGGGGCGGCTTTCGCTGGACTTTATGTGTACTTGGAGCTCGGCCTGTTTATTCCTCGAAGCGGAGGAACAAAAGCTTTTTTCGAGGTCATTTACGATAGACCTTATATGCTTGCTAGCGTGGTTATCTCCCTATACTCGGTCATGTACGGATTCACCATCCTGAACATATTGGTCTTTGGGGAGTACTTCTTGCATGCACTTGGGATCGAAACCACAGATTGGAACATAAGGATCGTCGGACTCACGTTGCTTTATATGACCTGCGCCTTCCATGGAATCAGCGTCCACCACGGAGTTCGTGTTCAGAACTTCATTGGAGCTCTCAAGTTGATCTTGGCTGCATTGATCGTGCTCACTGGCTTATGGGTAAGCGTCTTTCCCCTGAAGATCACAGGCATTGAATCACAATTGCATGCTCACGAGTTCTTTCCGCCAAAAAGCGAAATCACATTGGGCTCCTTCGCTAGTGCAATCATCAAAGGCACCTTCGCATGTGCCGGGTGGAACACGATCCATACCGTCACCAATGAAATCAAAAACCCTATACATACCCTCAAGATAGCAGGACCTGTCTCATTGCTCATAATCACAGTCACATATATCTTTATCAACATTGCATACGTGGTGGTTATTCCTGACAAGGAAATTCTGGAGAGCGGACAGCTTATCGGGTCAATTCTCTTTGAGAAGATCTTCGGTTACAGAATAGGCAGACAGTTCTTGACAATCGCCTCCGCTGTTTGCACGGCAGGAAATGTCTTTGTGGTGTTGTACACGATATCTCGAGTAAGTCAAGAGGTCTTCAGAGAAGGCTTTTTGCCGCTCTCAAAATTCATGTCGTCCAACTGGCCTGGTGATGCTCCACTTCCAACCTTGGTTCTCAGTTGCGCTCTCTCAACCATCGTGGTCTTGGGATCACCCCATGGAGATGTATACAATTACATCGTCTCCCTTGAAAGTTATCCTCAACAATTATTCGTGGCACTCTGTGCTGTCGGTATTTTTGTCATGAGAAGGAGGCATCCCGAATTCGAGCCCTCCATCCGCTCACCTATCATCGGCACTATTTTGGTGATACTCCTCTCATCATACCTTATAGTTATGCCACTCACTGATAAGAACCCCAATCCAAAAGGAATGGAGAAGTGGCCTCCATACCCTTATGTCGGTTTATTCAGCTTGCTTCTCGCTGCGCTATACTGGCTCTGTATGTTCAAAATTGGACCCAAGTACTTTCATTACCAAATCAGCGCAGAGAAGGTCAAATTAAGTGACGGTTTGGTCATAACTCAGTGGAACAAATTTCCTATCTAATTTATAGACACAATAGACTCATTGCTGCATCTTATCGCCGACCAACTTATCAACACGCTTGACAAACGCCTTGAACGAGCTACTTTTCAACTTTTGAGCGATCTTGAGTCTAAGAGACATGTCGTCTAACTCCTCAATTCCATCTTCATCCTTTAATGCATCCTCTAGTGCCTTGCTGAGAAGGTTATCCATTTTACTTCCCCTTCGAGTCTTCTTTCTGGCATTCTCTTCAGCGGGTATTTCGAAAGGTATATCCTCAATTGCATTGCGCAAATCCTTCTCTGTTATCAGTGGGATACCTGGCTTAGACATACTGACATCAGACTGCAGCTCTGATTTAACAGGGTTTAGTATCGAGAAACAGCTGTTGTCAAACCTTTGAGTCAGTTGTGACAAGAATGAGTCGTCAGGGCGGGCAGAGGTCTGTGAGGGCTGGCTCAATATATTTGAAATTGACCTGTTCATACCAGGCGGCACAGCCGGTTCAAAAATTTGGGAGTGTTGGGCCTCCTTGTTTCCTCGAAAAGCTACAGTTTGTTCTGCTGTATACTGGCTGGGATTTGGCGAGATCATGCCCGTGACCTCGTTCTGAAGACCCTGAGCTGCATTGACAAGAAGATTGAGTGAATGGGTGAAGTTACTGGCTGCAACCGAGGGACTCACCATGTTGGCCAGTGGCTGAGGAGAGTTGACCTGCCAATTGACATGCAGCAGTTGATTGGGCTGGTCGGCATTCTGAGAAAAAGATTGTGAGGGCCTGATCAGTGGAATATCAGGAGCGGCCTGAGAGGGCGCAAAGGGCTGGGATGCTCGAGCAGTCTGGGAACCCTGAAGTTCCAGATCCTTAGAGTTTGGCCGCACCTGGGAAAAAGACTCTTTTTGGGAAAGAAGGTCATTTCCAGTATCAGCAATGTCAACTCTAGGCTGCTCTGGTCTCCTCTGGCTCTGCAGTCCAGCCACCTCCTGTGACATCAGAAGCTGGTCTTCCAAGGAGCGTTGCACGACAACATTGAGGCCCAACCATAATTTGATCTTTTGAACAAAATGGTTGAAATGGCCAGCAGAATCAAATGTGATCTGGACGCGTTTCTTCAAGGTATCACCATCAGAAATCTTGAGCCCTACGATGGGTTCCTTGGTGAGAAACTTTACATTTGTCTCATTGATGTGAGACGTATCCTGGAATTAGAGGTTACAATATTAATAAAAGGGTGGTTCATACAATTGGTTTTCCTTGGGAGACGATCATCAAAGTGACCCCAGAGGAACCATAGGAACATCTTAGCTTGAGGCCCAGACGGTAGTGGGTCCAATCCTTGTTGGGGACAGTAAGTTGGGAAGCACGTGTAATTAGAAAATCAGTAGATTCATGCATGGATTAGAAAAAAAAAAGTTCGTTTCAGGTCAAGGGGGGAGGATCGGCCTCTTTATATGCTTGGTCCAAATCACCTGCACAGAATGATTTGCAGCCAATGCACTGCGGTCCCTTTCTACAGCAATGAGTCTATGATAGATTATTATTCCCGGAAATACCGCCCTTATGTACATGGTGCTCTTAAGCTTCCAACAGTTGATCGGAAGCAAAAACAGCGTCTAATCTCTTGAGTGTCATCTGATATAGTAAAAGCATAATAGAGCTCTGGATACCCGTCCAGATGAAACGGGGCCCCACTCCAGAAAACATGCCGTAAATGCCCTCGTTCTTGTAAATCGAATGCAATGCCTTGACCGTCGAAAACTTGTGCAATAGTTGTGAGAAAGCGCCTCCAGTAGATGCAAAATGTGGGGCATGTGCACCTGCTGTCGACGTTGTGGCCGTTTGAATTCTGGTTTTAATGACGTCCAACGGTGTCGTAAGCACACCAGCTAAACCACCTGCGGCGGCACCAGTTCCAAGCTCGAGGGTAAAAGGCAAATCGTGATTGGAGTCATTATAGATGATTGCCCACTGGCGGAATCGCTCGTAGAATGCAAATTGTAAAGCACTAAAAGGCAAGTCTCGCAAAAGAGTCTCTTTATATCCGTATGCCAAAGCTGACGTGCCTTCAGTTTTAGAGATCAGCCTGACGGCATCTCGGAGGTTTCTATAATTATAGCCGCAACCTTTTGTGTAAGGGTTGTTGAAGCGGCCTTGTAACTGTAACCTTGTTTTGAGCACTTCCGATGGAACGTAGAATACACTCAGGGCCAAGTCACCCAATATACCGGCGATGAAATACGACACGGTATCATTCATATGTAAGTTGTTGATCATGAAACGTTTTGAGTACTCGTAAGTTCCAAAAAATGTAGCCGTGGACGGAAAAGACCCCAATATTGCCGGAGTGTAACCGCCATAGAGGCCTCTAAAAAAGCCTTCTTGACGGAAAATTGTGATATAGGCCGGCACCATGTTCTTGTACCTTGGGTTCCACAGCAATCCTTGTTGCCTGGTCTTGACGGTGTCCAACGAGTGCATCGCCGAATCGCCGATGGCACCTCCAAAACCACCTGCTAACATGCAACTTAATATTGGCGAGTACGTGCCTGGTTCGGGATCTGCCGGAGGCTGTGATTCAGGTACTTTTGCCTTTTCATGATGCGTATGGTGGTCCCGATGGGGCTGAAACGGCGTCGGTATGGCGGACGTTGTCAACGATTGTGACATTTATGTGATGAAATATGCGGAGGAATAAATAGCTGCTGCTTGGAAATTTATGGTTCTCATGCGTGTGACGAGGAGATGAAAGGCAGTCGCCGTCTAGGCGGATAATAGCGAGAAAAGCCTGAAGTCTATGACAAGGCCCAGTGAGTATCAACAGTTAAGCGAGTGAAGATTTTCGAAGCCGACACCCGTACACCCAACCGAAAGATCAACGGTCACAACGAAGCCAGGACAATTTTCTTTTTAGTCTGAAAGCTTCTAAGGATGGTACCAACCAAATAGTTTGCTCACCAATCAATAACGGATGCTGGCTTCGTTGGGTGACGAGAAAATCAAGTCTGATTGGTGATCACTCTCATGAGCCTGTGATTGGCGCGTTTGGTGTTAGACAATGAGAAGTAAGCATGGACTAGGAGCCGAGCAAAGAGGGTCACAGAGACGGCAGAGCATTTATAACTCCAGAAACACAAAGTTAGGCTCCCCTAATTGGCCCATTGAAGGCGAATCTCCAGTTTTCAAAACCCATCACGTGACCGTATCTTTACTAAGGCTCATCAGGTCCATCGCTTTACCCCAGACGATGCTTTCCAGAGGGCTCAAGTCGTTATCAAAAAACTTCTGGAGAAGTTATCGGGTCCTAGCGCTTGAATCGTCATGTGATGACTCTTGCGTGGCCTTGCTTGAAAAGAAGGCTCCGAATTCGCAGCCAGTGGTGATAGACGAGATGAAGCGGACCTTGAGGTCTGTTGAAGCCGGTGGAGTGATTCCCACAGCAGCTTTTGAATTCCACCTGAGGAACATGCCAACATTGGTGAACGAGTTTTGCATAAAGCACGACTTACTTGGTGCAAAAAGGCCCGATCTTCTTTGCGTCACTAGGGGCCCTGGAATGGTGGGGTCGCTCAACCTGACTTTACAATATGCCAAAGGCCTAGCGCTAGCTTGGGGAATACCGCTAGTGGGAACGCATCATATGCTAGGGCACATCCTAGTGCTGAATTTGCCGACTTCTGAAAATCCTGAGCAGCCTCCTCCACAATACCCGTTCCTTAGTCTTCTATGTAGCGGAGGTCATACGATGCTAGTACTTCTGAAGTCACTAACACAGCATGAAATTCTCATAGACACCATGGATATTGCATGTGGTGATGCCATTGACAAGGCGGCCCGAGAACTAGGGATGCGAGGCAACATGCTTGGGCCTGAGCTCGAGAAATTCGTGAATCTGATACCCCAGAGTGAACGAGAGCACTTTGCATCGATCAGAACCCTTGATAGAAACAACGAATTCGGGTTCAAACTCACTCCGCCTTTACGCAAACCAAAGCATCAAAAAGTCCCCGATAACCTTTCCTTCACATTTGCATATCTCCTCAGCTCGATCAAGGACCACAAAAAGAGGTCTGAGCTAGATGAAAAGACCAAGCAGTTTCTTGCTTTCAAGGCACAGGATGCCGTGTTTGAGCACATTATAGACAGGGTGAACATAGCATTCGCCAAATACCCCAACGAGCTTGCACAAGTCAGGCACTTTGTCTGTTCAGGCGGAGTTGCAGCCAATCAAGTGCTACGCCAGAAGCTCTTCCACCAAATAAAGTCATCTCACGACCTTAGTTTTCATTTCCCCGATCTCAGGGTTTGCACGGATAATGCCACAATGATCGGTGTGGCAGGCATGGATCTCTTTGAGAAACTCCGAGTCAAATCAAGCATGGATATCTTGCCTGTGCGGAAGTGGCCACTTAACGAGCTAGTAAGCATGGGTGAATGGCAAAATGTCACTGACGAGGAGTTTGAATCAGTTACGGGCTGGCTGGCGGCTCCGTATCCTCAGGAACGTCTCTATGCGAAATAAACGGTTCGGTGATGTTGTACTTTTCAACCAACCGACGCCATGTAGGAAAATCAAAAGTTGCAATGTGATGTGCAATTGGCACACTGTCATCGGCAGTGTCTTCTTCGTCTAGAATATCCACGTAGGGTCCGTTTTCGTCGCTGTCCAAGCGTATCTTACCGTCTCTCACTAAGAAACTAATGTAGAACAAGTTCTCCACCAGCTGAGCGAAAGAATGTGGATTGAGGAAGAAAACATAAAAATTGAGCTTTTCATCCCCGCTCTTTTCCACCAACTGGCGGTATATACTACGCACCATATGCGAGGTGCTCTGTTCGGGGTCTGTGTGGATATCCTCAACAGATACCTTCTGTGCTGTAGTTTTATCCTGAGTGCCAATTGTGTCATCGACGTTTCTCGTACGTGGACCTAATCGTCTTCTCTGTGTGGCCAAAGGACCATAGAGAAACTGGGAAGGTAGCATCTTTCTGCTCAGGGCAAAGAGGACCCCTAGTTTAGACCAGTCGAAAGAGTTGAAGAGCTCGTTTGCACTCTTCTGGTCATTGAGCACAACCCCGTCATTTTGCTGTTCTGATGATTCTTCATACTCTGGGTTCATAAACTTCATGGCTCCCGTGGTAAACTCGTCCATGGTGATACTCTCTTTGTAGTCACCAAAACGGATATTCTGAGCGTTCAACGCGGCAAAAGCAGCCGTTTTCTTCAAGGCTTCCGAGTCTTTCATAAACATCGGCAAGTCCTTCACGTCATTCTGGGTGATTTTAGCAAAAATCAGCTCCAACTCCCGGATCTTCTCCATCACCATCAGACCAGCCTCTCCTTTAAACGCTAGGGCCTCAGCCCTGGCTACTTCTTTCTGGTATTGTTCATAAGCTTCCGAAATTACACCGAGTCCTCTGCTTCGGAGATTATTGGAAATATCGTCAATGTTCTGGGCAACCTCCTCCAAGTCTTCTTCAGCCATAGTGTTGATGTAGTAACTGCGCGCATCTGGGGAACATCACCACATATCAGGACCATCGATTCCGTGAATTCCAGCACAACCATTTAAAGTAATTAAGATTACATTTTGAGATGCCCATTAGACGACTAGATCAGCTGGTGGTCAACAGAATCGCTGCAGGCGAGATCATCATCCAACCAGCTAACGCGCTCAAAGAGCTTCTAGAGAACTCCGTTGATGCTGGAGCCACAAGCGTGGATATTCTCGTGAAAGACGGAGGATTGAAGTTTTTGCAGATTACAGATAACGGATCGGGCATCAATGTTGACGATATGCCGCTTCTTTGTGAGAGATTCGCAACATCCAAGCTCAGTCTGTTTGAAGACTTGGAGAGTTTGGCAACTTACGGGTTTCGAGGCGAGGCATTGGCGTCGATATCCCATATTGCAAGATTGAGCGTGATTTCGAAAACAAAGGAGTCGCTGTTGGCCTACAAGGCGTTCTACAATGCGGGCATGTTGGCTACGAATAAGTTCAAGGTGGATGACGAGAGCAAGACGGCACCAAAGCCTGTTGCAGGCAAAAACGGAACACAAATTACCGTTGAAGACCTCTTCTACAATACGCCATCGAGATTACGGCTGATGAAGCTGAAACTGGACGAACTTGCGCTGATATTGGACGTGGTTGGAAAATACGCTGTACATACCCAGGGAGTCGGATTCACGTGTAAGAAGTTTGGCGAGCTGACGCCGGCTTTGGCTACGAGGCCACAAGCTGAATTGAAGGAGCGTTTGAGGACGGTGTATGGTGTGAGTGTGGCCAGTGACATTATAGAGTTCAGCAAAGAGGGTCCTTCGGAGTACGGACTCATGAAGGTCAGCGGTGCCATCACGGGGCTCAACTACAACAACAAGCGGAGAGCCGTTCCGGTGTTTTTCATCAACAATCGTCTGGTTTCCTGTGAACCGCTTAAGAGAGCTTTGGTCTCGTTGTACCAGGTATTTCTACCCAAGGGCACGTACCCATTTTTCTACCTTAGTTTGGAGATCAAGCCGCAAAATGTTGATGTAAACATCCATCCAACGAAAAGAGAAGTCAGGTTTCTCTACGAGGAAGAGATCATCGAGTGGATCACCGGTTTGGTCCACGATACGCTATCATCGCACGACACCTCCAGAACATTCAAACAAAGCACATTCAAGCGGGGCAGTGACGTCGATGACGTCGCAACGCAGGTCAAGAAATATCGTCAAGAAAACAAGCTTGTCAGGGTGGATGCTTCGCAGCCCAAACTTGAAGCATTTGTGTCAAATCAGAACAATGAGGAGGATGACGAGGTTGAGGTGGAGGAACGCAGGGAGGTGCACCTTGACAGCATACGAGAGTTACGCCAGGAAGTACTGGAAAATGTTTACCGGCCATTGACAAATGTGTTCAACAACTTGGTCTACGTTGGTGTTGTTGATGGAAATCGCCGCTTATGCTGCTTTCAGTACGACGTGAAGCTTTTTCTATGCGACTACGGCGCCGTCCTTGCAGAATTCTTCTATCAAATCGGCCTTCTAGAATTTGCCAATTACGGCCGATACGAGCTCGACCCTCCCATTTCACTCCACGACCTTCTTGCCCCGCTATACGAAACAAGGGGTGACCTAGTTGCCCGTGAGGACGTCGTCTCCGCTATTACTGGAATGTCTGACATGTTTTTGGAGTACTTTGCCTTGCACATTGAACAAGGCATGCTCCACTCGGTGCCATTGCTCTTGACCGGTGCAGAGCCAGCCTTGGTCAAGTTGGCCCATTTTGTCTATAGATTGGGCACAAAGGTTAATTACCAGGACGAAAAAAAATGTCTTAGTCAGGTGCTCCGTCAAATCGCTCTCCTCTATGTGCCCTCACCCACGGACACTAACGAGGGATTCGAAAAACTCGAAAATATTATTTTCCCAGCGGTTCGCCAAAAGCTCGTGGCGCCGGCCAAGCTCATGGACCATGTTGTCCAGATAGCCGATCTCCCGGGACTCTATAAGGTTTTTGAGAGATGTTAGCCCCACCATGGTAGCATGTGCTGTTTGGCTGCGAAAAAATTGCCCGAATGGGGAACGCACTAGTGTGAATTTGACGCTCAACCGTGGTTGTGTGAAGAACGAGAACTTGGCCGATCAAATCAACACTCCAAGCAACCACTTGTTTCTTTGAAAACATCATGTTGATCGAGGCCTCCGCCAACGACAGTTACATGAAAACGCTCTCCTTGGGGAGCTTTCCACTGAAGGTCCTTGATTTTCAAGAGCTGCCTGATTTCTTCCAGCAGACCGTGTTTGTGGACTACCAGCTCCAGTTGCTTATCCAACACGATCTCGGCGATGCTATTGCCTCCAGAAAAAACTCTGATGCGGCTAAGCTGGCGCTGGAGAAGTTGGCTCAGTTGAAAAATTACATATCGTCCATTGGTGCCAATTACTCTGCCAGAAACAAGTCCTACGAGGAAGCTCTCTACCACACCGTGGTCTTGGCCGACTTGCACTACTTGAGCGGGGAATATGAGCAAATGCTGGCCACTCTCTCGTCGTTCACGTTGTCCAAGTCGCCCAGACTCGACTCTGAGGCCCAGGAGGACTTGGTGGACTACTTGACCGCCAGGTTCTATGCCCTCTACGGCTCTGGAAAGAGAGATGGTGCTTACAAGCACTGGCTTGAATACTTGACCAACTTAACAAAGTACGGAACAAAGAGCCAGATTGCCGCCAATCGCTGGCAGGACACTATCTTGCTCAGAGTCGTTGGCCTTTTGAGCTCCAACGGTAGCAGACCTCTTCGGTTCAAGGACATTCTTGCTCAATCGTTCAACGAAAACGCTTGCAGCATCACTGCAATCTCGAGTTTCTGCTTGAGACCAGAGAACGAGAAGCACGTCGTCAAGGAGTTCCGTGGAGACTTTGTGGTGTTTTTGACCGAGTTGGTCAACTCCAAGATTAAGCAAAAGAGGGACTTCCCTGATGCTCTGGCCGAGCTCAGCGAAGAGGATAACTTCATTGACTCCCTTTACGAAGCTCTTTACGACATCTCCACCCAGCGCCCACTTGTGGCCCAAGTGCTCAAACCAAAGCTTTCCAAGAAGTTCTTGGTGAACATGACCGAAAAGACTTACCAGAGTTTCACTGTGCTCTCGAACTTAATCAGAACATTGCTTGACTTGGAAGAGTACGACGAGGCTATCGCTGCCCTCAAGACCTACATCGACTACGTTGAGAAGGATCTGGAACAGAACCACGGCAGAGTCCAGAACATCTTAGACGTCATTGACATTTACACCATGTGTATCCAGCACTTCAACCCTAAACACTCCATGATCCCTGCTTCTCAGGAAGCCGACATTCCCAAGAAGTTCCGCTACACCAGCTTGTACTCTGTGGTGGAGCAGCTTAAGGGCTTTTCCAAACAACTTTTACACTACTTGGATGAGCTTTCCAAGGTTGCAGACTTGCAGTATGACGAAGCAGCCGGCTTGCAAGACAACAGATTATCTTTCTTGTACCACAGATACAACACTAACTTGGTGATGACCGACCAGTCCAAGTTCGTACGTATTGTGTCAAAGGCCTGGTTTGTGATGGGTGATCTTCACTCCTACTTGGCTTCTCACCTGTCTGCAACTCACGAGATCATGAAGGACAACACTGAGACTGTTCTCAAATACTGGAAAAACAGTTTGATTGTCAACTCTACAGGCAACTCGACCTTGCTCTTCAAGTATGCATTGGAGTTGTCCTACAATAACCTTGTGGAGCCAGCCTTGAAGTTGTGCAAGTTTGCATTGAAGAAATACCCTGAGCAATTCCAGGTCTGGAACTTGTTGGTGTTGTTGCACTCTGCCGCTGAGACTGAGAAGAGCAGCACAGACAATGAAATCAACCAGGTGAACCACGCTGCAATCTTGGACGACCTCAAGAAGTCCGGCACGGACCAGACCAGCTTAGCTGAGTCTGAGAGGTTTGTGGAGGATGCTTTGAACATTGCTGGTCTCTACATGCAAAAGTCCAAACAAAAGGGAACTCCCATTTCATTCCAGAAGAAGTACTCTATCTTGCAATTGAAGATGACGCAGCTTGCTATGTGGGAAGCAAAACATGGCATTGAGTTCATCTTGGACTCCATCGCCGAAGTCTTTGTCTTGTACCGTGAGTTGTTTGAGCAAGGCGATGTCAAGGACTACAGCCAGAAGGAATTGCCACCTCAGCCTCAACACTTGAATCCAGTTCAGTCCATTGCCGAGAGCAAATGGTCCCATCGTCCCAGTGTTGTTGACCCTGCCATTCCTGAGCTCAAGGTTGACAAGTCCTCCCTGAGGGAGCACCGTGCTGCCAAAGACAGACTCAAGAGAAAGTTGTCTACTAAGAGTTCCAGCAAATCAGAGCCCAGACCATCCAAGCCTGCTGGCCGTGTGTTGCAGGAAGTATGGTTGTGGGCAGCTTCGATCTACCTCAGATTGGGCTCTCTCCAAGAGGCCGAGGAGTGTATTGTCGAAGCCGAGACCGTGGCTCCACCTAATGTCAAGACCTACACTTTCTTGGGTCTCTTGACGTCCAAGTCCCGTAAGTTCTTGTCACTCCAAGAGTTTGAGAGATCTTTGGAGGAGTTCCACCACCCCGAAGAGAAGTTCAACAAGAAGGCCTACGGTGTTACCTTGCTTGGTATGTGCAAGCTTTTCATCGAGGACGACGAGCCCGAGAGCTCGCTCTTCATCTCCAACAAGGACTTGGATGCTGGATTGATCAGAGTCAAGAACTACTTGGAGGAGTACAGCAACTGCTGGCCATATGGGCACAACAGCCCAGAACTTTGGTACTACCTTAGCACCATTTATGAGAAATTTGACGACAAGCTCTTGTTCAACGAGGCACTCTGGAAGTGCGTCGAGCTTGAGAACAAGCGCCCAGTCAGAGCATACCATGTGTGTGAGGAGTGGGTGTAGAGCGTTGTTAGAGGCCTTGTCCATGGCCGTGTTATATTTAATGTATAGGGGATTGGCAATCCATGGGGTTGTCAATAAAAACGTTTACTAGAGTGGTGGTGTAGGCTTGATGATAGAGAATTGAATGACATTTACATTATATTTTGTTTTGCAAAAATAATCAATTAGTGTGAGGTGCACTTACATTTTGCTCTCGATCGGTGAATGTGGTATTTTTCGCAGCTATACTTAACCATCGTACCTAGACAACCAGGGATTCGAAGAAGACACCTTTCTTTATTCTTTATTCTTTACTCCATAAATTCCTTATGCTTCAAAACAATATAAAGGTAAATAAAAGCTCATAATCTTCCATATTTTTTCATCCCTCCAATTTGACATCACCACCGGGCATCACTGAGACCTACACAGTGCGACGATCGGATAAAAACCAGACTATATCAACCAGTATGACCGAGATTGCCCCCAAGGCCGTAACATACTGCGACGTTTGCTCGTTTCCTCCAGAGTACTGTGAATTCGGAGGCCAGTTCAGAAAATGCAGAGAATGGCTCAGCGAAAACCACAAGGAGATTTTTGAAAAGTTGTACAGTGATGCTGCTTTGGCCAATGCTACCCTGACATTGTCGATCGAGAAGGAGGAGAAGATCCACAAGGACTTGGAGAAGAAGCAGGCCAAGGAGGAGGCCAAGGCGGAGCGTGAGTTGAAGAAGAAACTTGCGTCCAAGGTGGTGATCAAGAGAATCGAGAGAAACAGAAGAAAGCACGTCATCTCCATCGGCGGTTTGGAGGTTTTCAACATCGACATGAAGAAGTTGTCCAAGACTTTTGCACAGAAGTTTGCCACTGGTGCTTCTGTGGTGAAGAATGCTGAAAAGAAGGACGAGATTGTCGTTCAGGGAGACGTCAGTGACGAGGCCAGAGCGTACATCGAGAAGTTGTTAGAGGAGAAGGGCTTGGATGAGGTCAAGGTGGAGCAGATTGACGATAAGAAGAAGAAAAAGAGGGAGGAGGCTGCTGCCGCTGCTGCTGCTGCGGGCAAGAACTAGTCATGAATGAACCGTGTAATGCAACTAGTATGTAAATGATAGAACAGCGAGCTCAGCGAGCGCTTGTGTTTTTTAATGAATCTTTCGTAAATCAAAAGCAGTGCCTTGATTAGTCGTACTTCTCCTTGGTGGCCCAGGAGACGCCGTATTCGTGGAAGTCTGGCCGCTGGAGAAGGATACGGTAGAGGTGCGCCACACGCCTCTTGGTGTTGAACTTGTTCGTTTTAGACCGCTTGCCAATGTGCTTGTGCTCCTTGATTTTGTTACCAATGCCGTAGCCGTTTGTGAGTCCCAAAATGGCGAGGTTTCCGCTCTCTAGATCGTGAGTGAGCTGACAATTAAGTTCCCAGAGCGTCACTGCCACATCGTGGTCCTGGACGTGCTGGTAGTACTCACCCAAATTGTGGAGACTCAAGGCGAGTGCATTATTGGTGTCCTTGTTGAGGAAGCGTTTGAGAAGGAGTTGGTCCAGGGTAGAGAACTTCTCCACCGCCGGCTCCAACACCGGCCTCAACTTGCGGAGCGCCATGGCCAAACGAGCCGCCTTCCTGAAGTAGTTGAGGATAAGCGCATTGTCGTAATTGTTCGTCACATCACTCTTGTTGTATGTGAGCAACCAGTTGCCGAACATGGCGATGGCAAGCGGGACACAGAGTCCATCTGAGCGATTGGCGTCACGAATGAGCTTATCATAGAGCTCTGGTCGTTGGGCGTTAGCTTTGGACTCTGCGTAAAGGTCCAAAACGTGGTTGAAGTCATGGATGGCCGGAAGCACATCTCTCAAGAGCTCTTCCGGAACAAACAGCTCAGCGTTGTGGAACTTGTTCAAGTTGGAGAATTTGACCTCGCCGAGCTCGAAGGAGCTCTCTAGTACGAATCGTAGAAGCTCCCCGTGACTGGGCAATATCTGCAGAAGCGTGTCGCCAAACAAGAAGACCTCACAGGCATCAGCCCAAGCCACGTCTAGCGACTCGTTGGGTTTATAATCATAAAACTCTTCTCTAAGACGACCGCAAGTATGACGAAAGAATAAGGTGTTGTCATCCTGTTCAACAGGCTCAGGCTTCTCTTGCCTGAACAACCCCCGTAGCTTCAGTAGCTTTCCCTTGCTCTTGGTTTCGTACTGGTTCAACTTTAGCTTCACGCTTTCTAGATCAGTGTCGTCGGAGACGTTGGACACCAGCGAGTACAAGGAGTTGAAATCAGACGTGTCGGAGTAGGATGAGACCCTGTTGTTGGACTTGCCCGTCTCGGCAGGGCCGTCGGGCGGCACTATGGATATTTCCGGAACCGCCGCGGCAGCCACAAGGTCCTCACTGCTCCCCTTGAGGTAGGAACTCAAAATGGAGTTGGAATAATACAGCGAACCTTCCATACTGGGTCTAACTGAGGCGCGGTGAAAGATGATGGAGGTTGAAATCGGGGCAGGAACGCGGCTCGGATACAGTTGCAAAAAGCCGACAAGCCTGAAAGCGGATGCAGATACGGAGCATGGAATGGCGGGGCGTGAAATGGGACCACAATTTAAAAAGCAACCCTTGATTAGGCTTAAAACGTTGCCAGGCCTCTCTAAAGTTTAAATTGAGTTTATGCTCCGAGACGTCTATTGTCAGGTGGCTTGTTTTCTTTTTCACCAGGTGACAGGGCTCTCTTCGCTGTTTGACCCAGTTTTGCGCTCGATGCCTGCTGCAATTATGTATACCTGAAAAAAAGGCGGCTTTCACATTTTCCGTGTTAGTTTTAGGCTCGGTGGATCCCCCACTCTTCTATGAAAGTAATTTCGAGATGGAGGGCACCTTGTCGCCCTGTAGAACCGGCGATGTAGCAGAGGACAGCGAAGCCAGCTGGACCTTCGAAGGAGCATGAGAGGTATTGGCAGAAGCGTTTGTTGATTGAGCAGTTGATGGCACCGCAGAAGTACCAGATTGAATTTCTGGAAGCTTCACTGGCTCGCTTGTAACCTCGTTTTTGACAGGGTTGGCAGACAGAAACCTTGCTGGATCAGAGAGAACAGGCTGTTGCGGCTCTGGCATGCCTTGAAATATCTGCGGCAGACTTAGGTCCGTATAGCTCTTGGCATGCTGAATGTCTGTAAAAGAGTGGTTTTTCGTAGGCGGCAGGTTTGACAAGGAAACGGTTCCTGGGTATGCCACACCCCTATCGTCTTGGTACATCACCGGAACAGGTGGAACCACCTGAACAGGCGAAAACGCTACTGGTCCAACGGGCGCTGGTCCCGCTGGCGGGAGCCCTATTGGCTGGAACAGAACCAAAGGTCCATACGGTGATTGTATAACGGTAGCAGTGGTTCCTGGAGGCGGTTGCTGAGGAAGAACCTGCGGCAGCATGGGTCCGGGCTCTGCTTTAGGGACAACATGGTAAGGTACAAAGGCTGGATACTGGCTTGGTGCCACAGGTACTGCCGTCATTGGCTGAGGCGGGAGTTGAGGAATAGGATTGGGGTGGACATTGAGCACCTCTTTCTTTTCGTCCTTCTTGTCCTTGGCGCCATCCTGGCGAAGGTTCTGGTTATACTGGGCCATTCTAAGCGCATTTCTGGCCGGAGCATCCAAGTTTAAATAAGCACAGTGCAACTTGCCCTTGACGCAGTTGAAGCACTGGGGGAGGTTTTCATCACACTTGATTCGCCTCTTCTTGCAGGTTCCGCAGCCCAAGTGGGAATTGCGGTGTTTTCGCCTGGACGACTTTCGTTTGCGGTACTCCTCACCCTCGTCGCTTTTGTCGTTGTCGGTCTTTTCGTTGTCGTCAAGCTTGTCGTCGCTTTTCAGGTCAGAACCGTTTTCTGTCTTTGTTTCCGCTTTTTCCACTTGCGGCAGCTCTTCGCCCGCCACGTCTCTTCGAGGCGGTAACGGGTTCTTTAGGGCCAGGTTGAACACGTCCATCTGAGTAAAAGATGATGTAGTCGCAGCGGAAAAACACACTATCTCTCCCATGGTTAGTGGCAGACGCCATGCAGGCTGCAGGATATACGAGAAGCCACCGCCTAGGGATGATAAGATTCCGGGGTTATTTTTGGTGGGAGGGGGCTCTTTGTGCTTTTCTAACTTGGAATAGGCTCTTTTTGACACATGGTGGCTTTTGTGCCCGGCAACAGGGCGTTTGTGTCTGTTGACCCCACACCAAAGTTTGTTCAACATAAATCCGGATGTGCCGAGACCCGCTTCTTTTTTGCAAAGGCGCCACCTCAACCACACAACATGACCATTGAAAATACCATAAAGCCATCCAATGAAAGCAACAGACCCATTTGCTAAGCATTTTCTGGATCCCCCACGGATGATTACATGAGGCCTCGGCTTCTCGGCTTCTTGCCTGCAGCTGTCTCGTAAAAGACGCACCAGCCATGCACTTTGACAGGTATCCGTTTTCAGGAGTGTCGGGATATTTTTAAGCAGGGAGGTTCGAGATTGGTGATTTTTCGTGGTGGGAGCGCCACTATGGCACGGATCAAGCCGAGAAACCGTGTTTGCTGTGTTTTGGGCGGGCCTACTGCGAAGACGCATGTGTTGTGGTTTACGATGCAGAGAAGCCTTTTGCAGCCACCTTTCAGGACAGTCTCCCATGATCGACCATTTCCAAAAGGGTCTTTTTGCTTGACTTTGGCGTTGTCGGAACCCTCATACTCCAGTGCCCACGGCGCCATTTTCGGCTTCTTGGCGCCTCGAGCTCGGCCATTGTTTAGCCCTGCTTGCTATCACCAGGATCGGGCTCCTTGGGCAAATACAGCTCATCAAAAGAACCCATTCTCCGTTCCCACCATTTTTTACGGTGCTCGGATTTACTCACCTCCTCCATCAACATCTGCTCCTCGGGCTCCTCTTCGTCGTTTTCTTTGTTGTCCATGGCCACCGAGAATCCCTCACCCTTGCGCAAAATCTCAAACCTTTGTCCATGCACCAAGTCCTTCATAACAAGCTCCCTGGTTCTCCCAAGCGATTCGATCGCATCGACTCTGTCCGAGGTCTTTTCGAGCAATTCGTCGAAATATGGCTGGGATGCGATTTCGTGGAATGCCCTCATCATGGGTACCGAGTCTGCTCTCACCCTCAGATCAGAGTCCACGGTGAAGATGTTGAGATTGTCGTACTGCTGGATGAAATCGGGCCTAGTCATGATTTGACGAGCTCTCCATAGCGGAAGTTCGGGCAAATGGTGGTTGTGTCTGAAACAGGGGTCGCCTTTGGACTGGATCAAGGTGTTCATTCTCTGGCGGTCCATCTCCACAAACGCTCTCATGAGAAACATGGCGCTGGTAGCGAATTTGCCGAACTCCATCACGTCATCGTCCATCTCTTCTCCAAGAAGGCCACACTGGTTGAGAAACCATGTCTTTTCCCGGTCAATGATCTCGTGACAGGCCTGGATCACATCCTTGTGCCTGGCAACCTGACTGATATGCTGCGGTCTTCCACCAATCAAATCGTAGATTTTGTGGCAGGCGGCATTGTCGAGCTTATAGTCGGGGAATTTCGAGATGGGCCAAAACTTTCCTCTGATGAATTGAAGCACCTTGACGGTCTCGTCTCGGTTGAGGTCTCTGACATTGATCAATTCGAGTCTGGTGCCCAACCGCTTGAGCTTCTCGTAAACCCAGTAGTCGTCTGAGTTGAAGATCATCGTCACAAGCTCACTGCCACTGAGCCCTTCTGCTTTCTGCTGAAGAAGCTCCAACAACTTCACACCCTCTTCGTTCTCCTTGATCAAATGCAGATTGTTGATGATCATGATCAACGGCTTATCGCTTTTACCCAGTATCCGCCTCTCTATGGCGAGAGTCTCGAGCTTGTTAAACGCTCTCTCTATGTCCAAGAGCGCCGTTGTGTCTCGAGGTCCCCTCATACTGAACAATGAGCCGATGTAGTCTTCCGAATAGGCAAAGTTGAGTGCCCGACCTAGACGAATACGGAAGATCTCCGGATCGGCATGGGCATCGAAAATGGCAACATTTCGGCCGTCTAGCTTCTTCATCGCCTCCATAA